AATTATTCTTCGATTTGTTATTGTTATTTCTGTATTTTCAATGCTCTGAGTTCTCTGTTCGATATTAAATTATTAGATATGACATTTAATGTAGAAATTCTAGTAATTACTTCCATCAGTCTTCGTTGATTTTTGTGATTATGTAAAAATTTTTATCTAATACAAAATTACAGAAGAACTTTCGAGTAATTTTTCTACATTTCAATGAAACATAGTAATATTAGTTTAGCGATTAAATTTTTCCACTAATTTATAAAAAAATTAATTATATTTAATAGAAAGTCTTATAATTTTCAATCGGAAACTTCATTAGTAAAAAAAAATGCATATGATCATTTATTTTTATTCTAACATTAACTGTTGACTTCTTAATGAGTGAAAAAAAGAAACATTTTCGATTATTGAAAAGATTATCATATTCTCAAGCAAATCTTTAAATTCTTCGATATTTTCATCATCTGGAGAGTATATCTTAAATTTTCGACTCGAATTCAAATATTTAACGACAATTGTCTATTTAGTATATCATTTTTATTCGAAGCAGAAATTTAAAAAAAAAGCGAATAAACAGGATTTAGAAAGAGATCTATCATTTACAATCATTGACTCCATCCTCATCACTTTTTTTCTTTTGTTCTTTTATTATACATGAATATGTCAAGAAAAAAATTCATGTTTTGTGTATATATTAGAAATAGAAGAAATCAAAAAGAAAATGAAAAAATGGAATAGCGATATGTTTAAACAATGAGACTTTAGGCTTTTGGTAATTATATATGATTCAATATATGTGTCACAAGATATTCTATGCAATGGCGCGTTTCGACTTGTAATGAATAATTGGTGTCACTTTGACTTTAAAAAATATTCAGATATAACTCTTGATAAAGATAAAATCGACTATGTTGGACACACAAAAAAGAATATATCTATGATTTTTCTTGCACAGAGAGTATCTATAATAACAGAATGACAAAAATGATTTAGTGAGTGAGTAGGTGACTGTTATTTTTCCGAATTTTAATTAAGTTTAATAAACGTATTATAATATTCACGATGAAAGATTTCTAATTAAGTCAAATAAGTTGAACATCAGAAGACATCAGATGAAAAGACTTGAATGTTCTGTTTCAATCAATGATTCTATTCAAACGATTTTTTTTAATGAAACAAATTATTCTAAAATAGACTTGAAAAAAAAAAAATTCTTTTTTCTTTTTTTAAATTTTGAACTAATTTTATGATTATCAAAAATGATAAGAACTCGATTTAATTTTCTTATCTGTAATAACAATTTTTTGAATTATTGTACATTGTCATTAATAGGTTTATCGATTGATATTCTCTCATTTGTTTTGTCTAATCTTTAATATCGCAGATTTTTTTTCTTTTATTTTTTCGTATTAAAAGTACTTTATGAGATATTCACATATGTCCTACTACAAAAAAACGAATTATATCTATAATATCTATATTCTTTGTTTCTTTTTCATATAAAAATAAATTAGTTTTCTAATTTCTAAATTCTAATTGTAATACAAAAGAAAAAAGTTTTACTTTAAAATGAAAACAGCAAATCTAATTAGTTGATATATTCGTATAACTATCCAAGAATTACCATAGTTTTCAATGATTCTCTATTGTTTATATATGAGCTAGTCTTCTCTAATCAAGTGTGATATCCTTAGCCACCAAAAAAAATGCCAGTTTAAATGTTATTCACATTGACGTTTGGTATAATATATATATATATATATCGATGAAGACAATGATAAGAATGAACGAGTCTCTATTATCATTTGATGATACACAATTTTTACCCATTTTTTTTTACAATGCATATATTATAAGGAAGAGCAAAGTTATGATTGCTTGATTACATCGGTTAACCTTCTTTTCAAATACACACGTGGAGCACTATACATTTATTCATTCTTTTTATACACTATCTAAGTGAATAATGCTTTTTTCAAATATAATGAGACACTCATTTTTCTAGAAGGATTTATCCGTTTTATTAACCTTGAATTCGTGTAAGTATTTTTTTTTAAATTGTACTTAAAGACATTTGAAATAGTCATGTGATATAATTATCGACAAATAGTTGGCAATTAGATAGATGAAACTGAAATGACGAGGGTACAGAACAACCCATTTTGCCCCGTTTTGATTTTCAAGGTCCAGTCTAATTGAATTATATATACAATTAAAAATCAGGAGTTTCTAATCATTTTTATGCTAAAATCGAGGCATTTTGTTTTAATCATTGTTGTGAACAGGATCTATCTTTGAGACATTCGAAATCACCTGTTAGTCATTGATATTAGTCAGAAATGTGAATGTTTATTTGATAGAAGATAAATAAAGGTGAGAGTGACTCAAAACTATTTTCACAGGTCTTTATCCAGACCACATTTTCATAGTAGACCAATTCATTTACAATAATGTTTTGAATCTATTAGAGTGTATACAAATCTTCTCTTGCTTAAATTTCGAGTCTGATATACTCATGTACGTACATTCTATTTGTTGCTTAATTATTGAGTTAATAAAATCTTTTACACACTTAGTTCACTTTGTAATCGATAGAGCTTTTCAAACGCTACAATACGAATTATTTCTTATGGTCTAAAAAAGTAGGTCATATGACGAAATCTTTAGTTCACTATTCATGAAGTTTAATTTTCAACTTGTCCAACTAATATTTGACGGTTTTCAAGAAGAATATTATCCATTTTGCTCCAAACAAATATCATATTTGGTATTAACATAAAAATCTGAGTTGACTTATGCATGTTTCAAACTTTTTCTGCGACTTTTTTTTCATTCAAATTTTCACCCCTGACTCCCCTCTCCCTCCTCAAGGATATGTGAAAAAATAAATTTAATGGAAACAAATATTTTATTGTTGAGTCACACATGTCTTCGTGTCTTCAAATAGTATTTTGACAGTTTAGAACTTGCTTTCCGGTGCCACAATGACTTTTTAACTAAACTCATTTTTTTCACATATTCCTGAGGGGAACCAGGGATGAAGATTTGACTGGAATAAAAATGCCACAGAAAAAGTTTGAAACATACATAAGTCGACTCAATTTTTTGTGCTGCTGTCAACTATGATATTTATTTGAAATGAAATAGGTATTATTCTCCTTGAAAACCTCTTCGATTTATGAAGTGAATTAAGTATGAAAGAAATTTCATTAATACAATAATTAAGTAACAAATAGAATGTACGTACATGAGTATATTAGACTCAAAATTTAAGCAAGAGAAGATTTGTATACACTCTAATAGATTCAAAACATTATTTTAAATGAATTGGTCTACTATGAAAATGTAGTCTGAGTAAAGACTCACAGAAATAGCTTTGAGTCAATCTTCATCTTTATTTATATTCTATCAAATAAACACTCACATTACTGACTAACATCAATGACTAACAGATCATTGAATATGTTTCGAAGATAGATCTTGTTCACAGCTATGATTGAATCAAAATGTCTGGATTTTAGAATCAAAATGACTAGAAACTCATGATTTTTGATTGTATATATAACTCAATTAGGTTGAACCTTGAAAATCAAAACGGGACAAAATGGATCATTCTGTGCTCCTACCCTTTCTTAATCCTTTATCTTTCATTGACCACTGGAGTAGTCATTTGTAGAATGATTGCAGAAAACGAGGGAAGCATGGGATTTGAATATGATAAGAACATTTTTTGTAGTGAACTTCATAGGCAATCGATTGGGAAAAAGAATATTTTTTTTCATCGTTCCACCTCTGAAATATCGGGCGTATAAAATCGATAATTTTGAAAAATTGAAAAACCTCGAGTTTTTCGAAACGAATTGTTCTCTGCCTACAGTCAATAACGATTTTTCGGAATTTCTGAGTGATATAGATCGATGAAGACATCCATTATTGGGTTAAATATATATCGAAAGCTTCACAATAAGTCGGCAATTTATATATGCTGAGGCATATCATTGACTATGGAACCACGATTTGGTAGCTGGAGGACAATCAAGAACAAAGTTAATATATATATATTGTAAATCTCAACTCATGAGAAGTTGAAATAGTATTTATTATGAGTTCAATGTCTTTAGATATTATAACATGACTCAAAGTAAAGTATATGCTTATTTAACAACATGTGTCAAAAAAAAACATGTAGTTTTTTACATTAATTTTGATTCATTTACTCCTTCTTTTTTTTTCCATTACTCCAATAACATAGGATAGATGTAGATGTAGCTTTTGCCAACACACTATTGTGCTTACAGGAAAAAAACATCCAGGCTTAGTATGTCGTTCAATCCCCTTTCTCCACCGTGCGGTCGCTAGACCAATCAAACGGCCCTACACAAAGAGATGGATTCTTGGCGTACCAGACCACATAAGTGGCATATTAGACAGGTTAATACTCTATTTGTAAAGTTATTTTATCAGTGGCTCTTCTGGAGCCGTTGTGTGGGAGAAGCGGGGGAGTAAAGGGTTAAATATTTTTCGTTACGTCAATCTTAAAATTGATTGGATATAACATCAAACGATAATTATTAAAGCTAAGTTTAGTTTTAATTTTTCAATGATTTGATAAATAGAAATTTGTATCTGTATTGATCTGAGAATTAAATATAGAAGACCTACACGTCGTTGTTTTTAGTTTCAAATAGTTGTTAAAACATAGATAAGAACTATGAAAGAAAGAGAAAATGATTAAATTGATTGATATATAAGAGATAAATGTATTAATGTCTATATGTACATGTACAAATGTTGTTTTTTTCAGACTTTGAATTTTTTGATTTGTTAAACTATGAATATATTGATTAATCAAAGTATATAAATATAGGTTAGATTATATTTGAAGTACTAATAGTAAAGAAACACACGTTGATTTTCTCGAATATTTTTTGAAAATAATTTGATTTTATTTATTTTGATTTAGTTAGTAAAATCTAACTTGGTATTTATAAAACAATATTTGATCAATGGCAACACATAGAGGTCGAGATTATCCCGATGGTATATTTCATTTTGTTTTTTTGAAAAAAAATTTTAATTTTAAATAATCTTGTTTATTTAGATGATGATAGAGATCGTCGATCATCTAAACGTCGTATGTATTCGTTTTTTTTTCTTTTGATAAATAAAAATATACGAGAATTGTTTTTATTTGAATATAATATTAGCCCGTCCAAGTCGTGCAGATGAAAGTTCATCCGACCCTTCTCAACGTCGATCATATTCAACAACTGGAGTAGAAGAAAAACCGTCAACGTCTTCGACTCAAGCAAGTACAACCACTGAACCTGTTTCAACTTCTGCCGTACCAAAGACTTCATCAGATATCGAAGGTGATACAAAAAAACGTGCACGTTCATTTGTTCGCCCACTATTGCGTTCTGCTGTCCCAGATTCCCAATTAATATCACTTGCACGACGACCAGCACAACCTGGACGTGGTAAAATATGAATTAAAACAAAAAAATATTTTTTCTCTTGTATTTGATTAATTGCTTTAGTTGGTCAACGAATTGAGGTTTATACAAATCATTTTAAAATTGAATTTTTAAATATAACTGAAGGAATTATACTTTATCAATTTGATGTTGATGTTGAAATTTTAATGCGTGATGGTTCATGGCGTCCAGCGAAAAAAGATGAACGTTTTCAAGTTATGAGAAAAATTATTGAACGAGAACAATTTCCACTTGTTTGGTATGATGAAGGAAAAAATTTATATTCAACACAAAATTTAACTTTAACATTAAAAAAAGAATATGAATGTGAAATAGTACATAAAAAAACAGGTCGAACAAATCGTTTTCGTTTTTTACTTATTAATCTTGTTAAAACTTATGATTTAAAAACAATATTTGATTTTATTCAACGAAGAATTCATGTACGTCCACATGATTCTGTTAGAATATTAGAAACTTTATTTAAACAAACACAAAGAGCTGAAATGATTACTATTAAAAATCAATCATATCCAAAAAATCAAAAATTAGATGATCTTGGTAAAATATTTAAAATAAAACAAAGAAATTGAATTTTTTTTTTTGGTTTTTTTTTTCATTGATGGAGTTTTTCTTATTTTTATTAAGGTGATGGTCGTGGTTTAGCAGCAGGATTTTATCAAGCAATTGTACTTGGTGAACGTGGCCCAACACTGAATATTAATAATAATTTTTGTTGTTTTTATCAAAATTATAATTTAGTTGAATTTATTTCCTGTTATTTAGGTCAAGATGTTAGAAGAAATGGTAAATTTATCATAGAAAAATTAATTTTTTTATCGCGCGAGAAAACGTTTCTAACTGTTCAATCACTTTTTGCTTGAGACTATTACTATTCGATTAACAATGATAGATAGCAAAACAAAGTCTGTTTTGCTTTGTTTTTCCAATCTTTGCTTATCGAGTTCTGGGCGTTTTACTCGATTTTTTCCCCTATAAATGATAGAATTGCTAAGAACCTGGATGATCGAATTCCGGACTCCAAGGCTGTTTAGAGATAGTCATTTAGGAACAACTTAATTTTTCAGCTAAGACAAACATATCTGTATCAAAATATGATTTTGTTATGAAAACGTCTTTTTTTTGTAGCACAGTTCAAAATAGGCGTTTCTTTAAAATTTAAATATCTTAGCAAGAATATGGCTCAAGCTTGGAATTGTTTCTTGTGAATATAAGATGTATTTATGGTCAGAATTTCAACTCGAAATTCGATCATCCAAGTTCTCAGCAATTCTATACTCTTACTACTCATCACGACCGATCGAATGGCAATAGTCTTAAGCGAAAAACAATTGAAAATATCCTTGCGTCAGTATTAATTATCAAAATTTTGTTAAGAACTAAATTATCATTTCAAAATTTATGTTTTTGAAAACATAATCGTACAATTTTCATTAGATAGAATATCACTCCTACAGAATTATTATGTTTTCTGAATAATTTTCATGTAGTAGTATTAATTGTAGATTTAACATTTGAGTTAAAGATGTTTCTTAAAAACAAATTTGATATATTTTGTTTCAGTTGTATGACAATGGTGACTAATAAAGATTTTATTCTTACTAAAGATCAGTTCTGTCTATCTCTGTACAGTTAAATAATAATTAATAATTGATGTTATACATTGAAAAACTTTGAAATTGAAGTGATTGATCAAATTCAGTAAAATATAGTTAAGTTGAAAATGATCATCCTAAAGCATTTGTATTTATGAAGGAATATTTTCGTTCAAGGCTTCGTTAGTTCAAACTAATAATGATTAGTGATCCTCAACATTTCACATTTCGAGAAAGATATATCTGTTTTAGTTGAACATGTTGTACGGATTCTAAATACAATGAAAACTACAAGATGGGCCAAAAGTCACTTTACCGTGAAACAATGGAATATCTAATTATGCTACAGCTCGATCAAATGGGCTCATTGTTTTTATCAAGGATAGAGGCGTGTTCATACTCCATATCCATATGAACAAGGTTAATTAGAACCATTGTTAAGTATCACTATTGACCTCCATAAGAAAATTTTTCTTTGTCACAGATAGCAAAAAAAACAATATACAGGAAAGTGCAAAAGTCACTTTATCGAAAAGAAAATTGAATATCTCCATTACGGCTCGACCAAACGAGCTGATTTTTGTAACAAAGATAGAGACATGTTCACATTCCGAATCTATATGGACAAGATTAGTGAGAACCTTTATTAAGTATATTTTTTTTCTTTTCCTATCTGTGAAAAAGTAAAATTTTCTTCTTGAGGTCAATAGTGATACTTAACAAATGTTCTCGTTAACCTTACCCACATAGATTTGTAGTGTGAACATGCCTCTATCCTTGATAAAACAATGAGCCCATTTTATCGAGCTGTAGTATAGTTGGATATTCTGTTGTTTCATGGTACAATGACTTTTGGCCCATTCTGTATTTATGAACGAAATTTTCGATCGAAGGTTTTGTGCAATAGGCTAAAATCTCAGTAAATCAATGATAAAACCAACAGAAATAGTTATATTAGATATTGTTTCGTCAAATTGAGATTTAATTTCAATAGTTCTATGAAGTTGTTACTCGCAAGACAGTTTTAAGATGTTTATTAGTACTGTTTCCTTTGAACGTGAATGTTTTCGTCAAATATATTCAAATTTTGATTGATAAAATAAAAATATATTTTAAGGTATTTCACCAAAAGATCAACCATTATTAGTACGTAAAATTTTAAAATCTCTTTGGTTTGCAACAACACATACAAATCAAATTCGAAAATATCGTTTAAAATCATTTGGTCTTTCATCAAATGAACATACATTTTCTAAAGATCAGGGTGAACATCAAGGTGAACAAATTAATGTTACTGATTATTTTCAAGAAAAATGGAATATTCGTTTACGTCATCCACAATTACCTGTTGTTGAATTATTTAATCCAGCTGATAAAAATAAATCACATTTTTTACCAATGGAATTAGTTACTGTTGATGAATGGCAACGAAGTTTAAAACCTTTAACAACTGATCAACGAGCGAAAGTAACAAAAAAAACTGTTGTTAAACCAGGTGAACGTTTTGGAATGATTCGACGTGTTGCTGATGAATGTCATTTTGATCAAGATGCTTATTTACAAAAAATTGGTATTAAAATTCATACTAATGATATGTTAATGATACCTGCAAGAGTTTTAGCACCGCCTGAAATAAAATATAAATCAGCACAAGGTGATCAACGTGATATTATTGAAAGAGTACAAATTGGTAAATGGTATTTAAATAATCATTTTAATAAAGCACGTGAAATACGTGCATGGGCTCTTGTTCTTGTTAGTCAAAAAGAACCTGATGCAAGACAAGTTGGTTTAGCTAGAGATTTTGCAAGTAAAATTCCACAGGTTAGAATATTTGTTGTTTTTTAATGAAAAACAAATGTTATTGTTGTTGTTGTTGTTGTTGTGTTTTCTTCTAAAGGCAATGTCGAAATATGGTATTCGATTTAATTCAGCAGCTATTGAAAAATCAGATGCTGCTGTACCTGATATAATTTTAGCTCGAATGAATGAACTTAAAATGTTAGGTTGTGAAGTTATCATTTATATTCTTAATCAAGTTGGTGATGATATTTATCATGTTATTAAATTTTTCGGAAATATTAAACTTGGTAAGAATATATTTTATTTTATTTTAAACTTAAATAAATTCTTTCATATTTCTTTTTTCAAGAAAAATCAATCATGGTCGATAGTCAATAATAGTTTACTAAATACGAAAAATTATTCATTATTTTGAAATAAAAAATTCTTCGAATCTTTTTATTAATCATGTAAGATGGTGAAAAAATAGTTTAACAATCATATATTTTTGATATTTTTCTATAATATTAAGCACGAAGCTCAACTCGTAATAGTGATTCTAATGCATTCCATAGCAAGATTTCATAGATGAAGTTTAATGTCAAGGTTACTAAGAAACTGGACACGATAGTTTTCAACTCCTCAAAACTATTTTTTAATAATACCATTTTAAAGAGCACAAAGTTCTGAAGAAAATGAGAGGACATCACATTTTTTACGACCTTCTCTTAAAACTTAAAAGAATTATAAAAGTTAATTTTTGGTTATTTTTTTGTACATTTCGTTATTTTAAGATTTTTGTGGTGCTTTTAACTTTTTAATGGCAGGTTGTAGATAATGTGATGACTCCTCATTTTGTTCGCAACTTTATGCTCTTAAAGATAGCATTGACAAAATCTTCTGAGATCTGAAAACTACCGTGTCTGGTTTCTTTGAAACTTTACCATCAAAATTCGTCAATGAAATCTTGCTATTAGATACATTAGATAGAAAACTTCTTTAGTTATTAACATCACTATTTGAATTTGAACTAGGTGCTAAACATTATACAAAAATATCAAAAATATATTATTCTTAAACATTTTTCCATCACTTAATATTTAATGAACTTCGTTTGAGAAAATTGGTTTTTGAGACTTGTATACATAATTAAAAATAAGAACTTCTTCCTTTTCTATTATGAATGAAAATCTATAACATACTGAAGATGTAAGAGACATATCGGATAAATATATTAGAAATGTATCTAATTGAACGATTCTAAAACTACAACAACATATTTCAGTTTTACATTAAAATTATTCCAGATAATTTATATCTGATAGAAATTGAAATCATCTATACCTAAAATCACCATTTAGAGATAGATAAATTCAACTCGGATAAAACTCTTGTTGATCTAACGATTTACTAAGATGAATGAAAAAAAAAAAACTAAAACTTAAAAAGATAAACTATGAAAACTGATATAGAAGAATTCACTATTTTGAAGAAGAAAACAAATTGACTTTTTCAATTGTAATCAGTCATCTCTGTTTTCATTTCTCAGATTATCGATAATCAACGCATTATCTATAATATATTTGTACAGGTATGGTAACTCAATGTACACGTTTTGATAAACTTATGGCGAATAGTGAACCACGTAAAATGGATATGTATATTCAAGTAAGTTGTTTATATCGGTAAAAATTTTCTATTTACAAATAAGAAAAAAAAAAACAACAAATAGAATTTGGTACAAAAATTTAATGCAAAACTAGGTGGTATTAATCAATTAGTTTCATTAATGCGTGCATTAACTTCTCCATCACCTCGTACAGATATTTTTATGTTTTTTGGTATTGATTGTACTCATGTAACATGTTCACGTGAACGACCATCAATTGCTGCTGTTATTGGATCAAAAGATTCGACAAGTTTGTTTTTATTTGTTTATTTTTAAATTATATATTAAAATAAAATAAATTTTTTTGTTTTTATTAGGTACACAATATGCTGGTCGTGTTGTTCAACAATATTCTCCGAAAGGAAAAATAGCAGTTGAAATAATAAAAGATCTTCATATTTATGTCGGAGAATTATTACGTGAATTTTCTAATCATAATACACGTTTACCAAATAAACTTGTTTTTTATCGTGCCGGTGTTGATGATGGATCATTTCAAAAAGTACTTGATAATGAAGTACGAGCTATTCAACGAGCATGTAAAGGTAATACTTTTGATTTTATCAAATAATTCAATTTAAAAAAAAACAAAAATTATTTCTATTGAAAAAAGAACTTTATGGTCATAATGAATTACCAAAAATTTGTTTTGCTATTGTTAAAAAACGTCATAACACTCGATTTTTTACTTGGGATAAACAAACAAATCAAACAAATAATATTCAACCAGGTTAAAGTTTTTATTTTCTTATTTTTTTCTTTTTATTAGCTTGTTTTTTAAATTTTAGGCACAGTTATTGATACAGATATTGTTACACCTAATGGATTTGATTTTTATCTTAATTCTCATGCAGCTATTCAAGGTACATCAAGACCAATGCTTTATAATGTTTTATATGATGATATTGGTTTTACACCAGACGAAATTCAACAATTAACGTAAGAATTTTTTTTTAAATATTTCAAAAAACAAAATACAAATAATTTTTTAAAAACAAAAACTATTAGATATTATTTATGTCATACGGATGTTCGATGTACGAAATCTGTATCTGTTCCCGCACCTGTTCATTATGCAACACTTTGTGTATCTCGTGGTCTTAATCTTGATTATGAAGGACAAATGTCTAGTGAACAACGAAGTATTGCTGCGTAAGTTTTCGATTATTTTTTAGAATTAAAAATACAAAAAAAAAAGCAGAAAAGAATTTTTTATTTTAGTTCTGATATTGAAGAAGGACTTATAGATGAAAATGTTGTTGTAACATTAGATGATGTTCAAACAATAAAAATTGACTTTAATCCATCAATTGAGAATACAATGTGGTTTGCATAAACAATATTTTCTTTCGATTTGTATAGAATTATTTCGTTTATGTCATTGAGATTGTTTGGTCAAATTGATCATGCATTTGATCGTGTATCGTTTTTTTTTAATTTTCCTTGTGAAATTTCTTTTATTTTCCATATTTTTCTTTAGATTATTGATGCTGAAATTAGTTCAGGAATTTGATTGAGTAATAAAGAAAAAATCTAATAATTTTAATATCATTGATTGGTCTAAGTTAATATTATTGATGATTAAGTGATTTGATGAATGTTGACAATCAGAATGATAACTATTAGAGAAACTTTTCTTGATAAGAAAATCAAATTCTTTCAATGAAATTTAGCTATTTATTTTATCAAATATAATCGTTTTTCATATTAAATGAAGTTTATTTTAAATAATAATTTATTTTGATCTTTATTCAAAGATAAATATCTGCTGGAATTTAGCAAACACTCAAATTTACACTTTTCAATTGATTTTTTTTTACAGATTTATTCAATAAAAAATAAAAGAGCTTGTTTACATAAAAATAATTGTAGAACCTAATAAAATTCATGTTGATGATCCAGTTTTCTTATGGTCGGCGTTGTCACATTTTTTGATATTACAACTTTTACATGAATTTTCAGTATTTGCTGAATTATTTGTCATCCCTGTGCCACATTGACCGACTTCAGAAGCTATTTTTGATCGACCTGCTTCAGTAAAAACAGATTTATTTTCGTTGGCTGATTGCTGTTGTGTGGATGTATTCGCATTCGACATTGTTTGTTTGTTTCAATAGAATATATCGTTTAGTAAAATGACGCTATATACTCGATGCCTCTTTTTTATATTATACAAAGAAGAGAATAGAGAAGAAAAAAAATCGCTCATTTCTTTTTCGTTCTAATAGGAGAAACATATGAGTATAACAATCCGACAGAAAAAAAAGTACATAAACTTATTTAGGGTCATTGAGAGCATTTTGATCCTACTACTTTCTCGTTCCATTCATAGTTTTTTCATGAATAAATCCATAGTTAGAAATATTAATTTAATCAACTTAAAAACTCTTTTAGTTGATAGTTTTAATGAAAACAATGTCATCAACTGATGAGTAGCATAAAATAATTTAAATATCATTTCTCTTGATAATAAAATATTTTATTAGAAATAGCATATTAATGAGAGGTTTACAACTATGAAAAGAACCTAGTAATTAAATTCAATTTAGTTAGGAATAAGTTTTTTCACGAGATTGAATCAATTGTAATAAATGATTGACATCTTTGATACAAAATTTTGGTAAAAGATCTTTGTCCGCAGTATTTTTTCCAACTGCTTGTTTGATTGTATCCAATTTTTTCTCACTTGTTGCTCCACTGAATACGAGTAGACTTGTCAAACCTTGACGATTACCAAATAAAATATCTGTTTCCAATCTATATTTTAGCAAAATAAAAATCGATCCAAAAAAATCTACTTCGAATGATTATTATCTCTTACCTATCACCAACCATAATACTTCGATTAGGTTTGACATCAGGAAAAGCCAAACGAATCGATTCAAACATTGGAGCTCGAGGTTTGCCCAATATTGTTGGAGAACGACCTGATGCTGCCACAATTGAAGCTAAAATCGTACCTTCTCCTATTAGTCAATAATCAAAATATAACATTCTCTTTTTGGATAACTTTCTAAAAACAAAAAAAAAAGTTTTTTTAATATACCAGGTAAAATGGCTATATCAGTTTGTGGAGTTGTGACATCATCATTGGTAGCTAAAAATAACACATTAGGTCGACTAAGATACGTAGCTGCTTTGATTATTTTCAGATAGTTGATATGAATATCAAATGCAGATATGACACAATTAATCTATAAATAAAGAAAATAATATAATTTAACATCTATTTAGAACAAATATCTTACGTACATTATCATCAAATTTGATCGTATTTGTTTCGATCCAATCTGCTTCGGGTGGAACAGGATCAGGCTATAGAAGAATGGAATAAACACAAAAATTTGAATTGTCTAATACTTACTCCAATACCATCTGATATATGAAAACCTTCTCGTCCTAATTCTTCTACCATTGATTGCATTCCAATGCAATAACAATGACCTTTAAAATTAATTGACTTAAGATATTGAGCAGTAATCCATGCTGTACAAATGATTTGTTCCTAGAAAACAAATATAAACAGATATTTATTTCTATTTTTATTCGGAAATACAATTAACATACAGGTTTAGCTTGATAGCCGATTTCATTGAGCCATTGAGAAAATCCTCTTTGAGTTTTTAATGAATTATTCGTCACAAAAAATACTCGTTTACCCTTAAAATGAATGAAAAGATAAAATAAAAAAAGAAAGATAATTACATACTAATTTTGTTAAACAATTAAGTAATTCAATAGCACCTGGAAGAATGTTTGGTGAACACCAGAGAACGCCATCACAATCAAACAAGAATGTATCATGATCATTTAATATCGATTCAATATGAATTTCATTTAGACGTATACAAACTGAGTTCGACATCTAAAATATATATATGTTTTTAACACTAGATAAAGATAAAATAAACACATTGTATTGTCCTTGTATTTTTTTCCTGTAACCATCAATATCTTTTTTTTCTTTTTCTGTCTGTTTGTTTTTGCGTTCCTAGCTTGTAACTTTTTTTCTTGTAATCATCAATATTTTTTTCCTTTTTCTGTCTGTTTGTTGTGCGTTCCGAACTTTGTCCTTGTTTTTTTTGTTATTTCTACTCCTGACATGCAAATGCATATTCACATGTTTTCTTTCTGAATCTTTATTATTATAATTATATTTTTGATTATTATTTGTTTTGAAAAAAATCCTTAACACTATCTGTTATGCAAAATAATAAAAGCACATTTTATATAATCATCAGATATTCAAGTTAAACTATTTATTTAATAGTCTTTGAAACGTATTTAAAATTGAATATGAAATATTCATCACATTCGAACTAGTGCCATCAGTGTATTTAATATATTTAGAATTTTCACGTAATTTTAATTGAAACAAGCAACAGTTCCAAAATATTACTGATCCGTAATTTGTGGAGACTAGAATTGTATGTTTCGATCAGTATACAAAGTTGCATTTCTTGGCTAGATAAATAGGTTGATATCACTTTTTTGTTTAATATAATTCAACTAAACTGTTTCTTTTCTTAATCGTAATTTTTTTTTTCGTACTCATCGTACAATTTAAAGTGTATTACCGACATCTATGAAAATGCCATTTCAACTTTCACTTCGCAGACACTGATAGAACAAGCAGTTCTCACATCTGTGTAAAATAGTATCTCTTGGAATCTTAGATCTTTTATCAAATTAAACGTCTAGATATGTACTGAGAATAACAACTTCCATATAACTTTATTTTTGTAAAAAAACAAAAAAAATATTTATTTATTGTTTGCACATCGTATAGAGTACAATAACAACAACTAAAGTTCGGACAAGTTTATAAGAACAAGATGAATTTTAAAATGAGAGATGAAATTTAGAAAAGAAAAAATAATGTCACGTATCACTACAAAGATTCATAGCTACATTTAGTTGTTATCATATCATATCGATAGTATTTGAGGATGAGAAACAAAACAAGATGATTGATGAGATTAACATTTTATACCTTTTTATTAAATAATATAAAGTCTATATGTATAAAATGCATATATATTGTGTTGTTGCCAACGAAAACATCAAATATTCCTTAAATAAATGAACTATGTAGATAAAAATGTAACGATGAAAAATCAATAAATCAATTTCGTTTCATGTCGTTTACATCATATGCAATCATACAAAATTTTCATGTAAATCATGTAATCATGACGGAAGAATAGTTATCCAACTAATGATGTTGTCTTTGAATTCCTGTCATTTTCTTATTTTTGAAACGCAATAAATGATTGTTTTCATTTTTTAACTTGAATAGAAAATTGATCACTTCATATTGTCTTTGAATTACAATAAAATACTATCGACAGTAAATGATAAACTATAGAAGTATGTGATAGACAGTTATGTTTCAAAGTATTGAAAAAGACTCGAAACTTATGAATTTCATACTGACAAAATCTTATATCTGTAAAACAAGACTAGAAGTTTTCTATACAATCGATAGGTTCTATTTCACAGACACTGATTTCTCAAAGTTTCAAGCTTCAAATTAAAACTATGCATAGAAAAATCTTTGAAATTCCCACTTATTGTGAGAAATTCTACTATTTGCTTGTTTCTAATGTAAAAGTCGGCTGGAATAAAACCATATCTTTATTGTTATTTTCATACATCAACAAATATAACAACTATTAAATTGATTTTAACTAAAATAAATAGAATGGAAAAATCTGATTCGCATATAAAAAAACTAGTGCAAGAGAAACTATATAGTTATTCGACATGTCAAGGTTTTATCGTGTAGGTAGATTTACTTTTTCTCGTTCATAGATTGTTTCTTTAACTATATCGAAACTTAGCAATGATGTTATCATAACCAAGGATAAGCCAAGCTAGGCGTCTTCCTTCCACCGATAGTATTTTCTCTGCCACTAGGGAAAATAAAGCACTAATAATCGCTGTCATCTACATCATCTTGGATGAGTTTTTTGAAAAACCATAGAATACTGCTCGACCATCTAAGATTTCCTGATAATGCTACTAAAAGATGGGTTTTTTAATTTTATGATGAACAAACTTGGTTCAAAACAAAGATTTCTCTTGTGAGTTGTAGATAATATTCTAGGGTTTTCTATCCTGCATGTGATATTTCAATTGTTCACAGAAACCATACGTAGCAGAGACGATCGATGATGTTAGTGAGTTTCTTAACGAAAGCTAAACGAACAAATCGTATAATCTATCAAAATGAAATTCAAAATAGTTGAAAATTCAATACAACTCAAGATGAAACAGCAGTAGCAACAACCGCAACTGTCGAATAATTTTGTCTTCGTTTAAACATGTGCTGTAGTAAAAAAGACGTGAATAGGAAAATAAACAACTTAAAAAAATGAAAGAAGAAAAGGAGAATGGATTTATTTTCGATGTCGTTCTGTCTAAATAGATAGACGACGCGAGTAGAATTCTTTCACTTTTTGTTTCATTTCATTCACGTTAGATCAACAGAAAAACATTCATAAGAACATTTTATGTTTACTCATATCAGACACTTACTAAGTAACTCGAAATGAGAAAAGGGCGTCCCTTGTTTTATGAAACAAAACGACTGACGAATGAGTGCATACCAACCTAACTTTCTCTAATTTTGTGAATCATATCGAAAGTTCTTAAATATTAGTCAAATAAAAATTGGAACTTAGATTTTATTTTGAAATTATTAAAAGCCGTTTTTACACATAAGAATCGAGTTCAAATGATTCAAGAAAATTTAAATGAGTTCAAATGGTTTAAGATGATTTAAATGAGTTTAAGTGAATCATGTGATTGAATTTTGATTTGCAGCTGCTTTAAATCAGCTGCTTTTCCCTTAATTCTTTATCTAAGAGAAGTTCACGACATTTTTTGTTTTTTTCAGAGATGTCCATCGCAGCGCGGCAGCGGCAGATTTTTTCCAAAAACCACCGCGGCGCGGGAGAGATTTTTATTTTGTTGTCGCAGCAGCAGCGAGGCGGCGGCAACTTTCTTAGGAAAAAATTTCAAAATTTCATGAATTTGCACAGAATCTGCATGTTCATGGATGCTATACTGTAAGACTTAACGAATCTGATCGATTAGCGGCATCAGTTCTAGTTCAAACCAGTCACAGCCTTGAAAATCAAAACATTTTTTCGAATACCATCGCGGCAGCGGCAGATTCTGAGCCGCGATGGACATCTCTGGTATTTTTCTTGAACTTATCCTTTCAATTGAATCGATGATATAAACGTTTGAAAAAATTTTATTATTTTGTCTTTTAACTTATTAACTGAATTTTACAACAAAAAATGGAATAACCTTATGTGATTTATCTTTTAATATGATTGTAGAATAACAGTTTGAGTCATCTATATATTGCACATAGATTTACTTGTTTTTTGCAGATTTCATATAGAATATACATCATCTCTATAGATTGAGAGTGTTTTACCGCAATTATCTTCTGAATATAATATATTTATAAGTGTCCAATATCAGATTAGATTTTTATTTTTGTTTGTTTCCGCGTCAAACATCTTTTGTAACAAGACATTATGCGAAGTCTTTTTAAAAAATTAACTAATTCTATTTCTGATGAAAAACTATTTAAAATGAGTCTATAATGTTGAACAGATTTTGTCATTTCGTTTTATTCTTCATCATGATCATCTGGTTGCGGTTGAAGTACAAGTGAATGTTCATGTCCTTTCTTTTCACATGCTGAACAAAGATCATAATTGCCACAGATAGGACAACTATATCTTTGACCAATAAGAGGAGACATTTGACATCCGTCACAAATGACATGTCGCCATTCATATTCATCTGGCGAAGGACGAGCTAATTTTTCACCTCGTGACCATGTTTGTAAAGCTTGAACACCAAAACGTGCAACATCTTCACGACCACGACGTGACAAAATTGTTCCATTAGATGATACAACAATCAATGATGGAATGCCTGTTACATAAAAAAAAATAGATATAAACTGATAAACAAATTTAATAGAACTGATTCTTACCAGAAAATTGAAAGTATTCCGCAGGAACTGCACCTGAATTCATTGGAGCCGCAGGCCAAGGCATTTCTGATCGATAACTATTGAATGATTCTTGATCTTCATCGCATGATATGAATATGATATGAAAAGGATGAGAATTTGTTTGTGCTCGTTTATAAATTTCGACTAGTTCGGGTGTGAATCTGCGACAAGGTGGACACCAATGAGCCGAAAAATAAAATCCAACACTTTTAATATCATTTTTCAACATTGTTTTTGTTTCAATTTTTTCTTCTGTTTTAGGATCAAGTAAATAAGGTATTGATAATAGAAGTTTTTCTAATGAATATTGTCGGTTCGGGATCAGATATTCAACGAGAGAATGTTCATGTTTATTTTTTGATAAACATGTTTCACATAAATCAATTTGACACTCTTTATTTGTACAACCATGCCGTAAACCAACTAAAGGCTTCATAAAACATTCGGTGCAATTAGTATATTCCCACACATATTCATCGTTTCGTGGTTCACGAGTCCAAAATAAACGTTTTCCTTGAGACCATTTACGTAAAGCTTCTTTAGGAGCACCGTATATTTCATCGACACCATCCGAAGTTATTATTTCAAGCGAAGGAGACACAACAACCAAACATGGAATACCGTTGACGTTGAATTTTTCACCCAATTTCTTCGAATGATCACGATCTAAATTCAAATATATTCATTAAATAATGTACATAGGTGAAAAGTTAAAAAAAATTCTTTTTCGTATGACTATGAAAAAGAATAATAAGGCAAAGATCATGTTGATATTTTTTTTTTTCATAATAGCGCATTACTTTTTTTTCTTATTAGTTGAATTAAAGAAACTCACATACCAGAGAAAGATAATGCTTTCCATGGCATTTCTTTGAAATATTCATTAAAATCTTCTTGATTTTCATCACATGAAACAAAAACGATATCTAATTTGTTTTTTATGTCATCATTAACTTCTTTAAATGCTTTAGCTAATTTTGGTGTAAAATGTCGACAAGGTTGACACCAATGAGCTCTATAAAAGACAAAATGACTATGTCGTTTTTAAATTTATGCAAAATAAACAGACGAAAAATAAAGTACGAGAGTTTTTCCATTAAGTTGACTTGTTGATATTCGACTTGATTCATCATCCGATTCATTGTGTCGAACAAGTTCTTCTCCTAATAATTCACTTAATTTTGTTGCCATGGTTTTTCTTCTCTTAAATATATTTTTAAGATAAAAATATCTAATCGCCCCGTTTTATAGAAGAAATAAAGATATTAGTATCCGAGGCAATTGCTATTATTTTATGAAACGCGTGTATGATACATTATGAGTCTTGTTTTTTTGTTTTTATTGTCTTTACTCGTTTATTCATTCTTTTTCTTGTCGTTTGTCTAACTCGACAAACATATGTTTTTTTTTTTTATAAACCAATTCAAGGTAAACGATTATTACCACCTAGAGAAAATAATGGTTATTTACCACTATTATTTATGCATCCATATTATTTCTTCAAATTGTGAATATTTGTTTTCATGTATAACAATGTTATATATCAAAATTTTGTATAAATTAAAGTATTTATGAAAAATTTCACAATAATTTCAATGAGATATCGTTTCATTTTGTTGATATTGTACATTTAGTGTCATTTTGAGTTGATGAATACTTGTTAAGAACCTAATATGAAGCCTCAAAACCAGCATTTGATCATGCCAAATTATATTCAATTCTCTGATCGATATTTCATATTTACACAGCAAATTTTTGTATATCGTTAAACATATATCAGATATCAATGTAAAAATGTATACCTATATATCACGTCCTTTTTCTTCATTTACTGAATTCTCTGAAAAAAACTAATTAGACGAGATGTTAAATGTTCAACTGTAAATTCATCATTTGTTCTATTTTTTGAAAGATAATTCTATTAATTAGAGTTCAATATAAGACGAGATAAATCTGTTTTATGTGAAGTTTTTGTTTTCATATAAAAGAACATTCTTCAACATAGATGACATCTGTTCTTAATAGTAAATGAAAATAAGGTAATATTATCTTATTCTGATCTATAAGTGACTATGAAGATTTCGCCGATGATCCTATAAAAAAAAAATAGTTCATGGAAATGAATCGACGAACAAAACACAATGCTATCTATTATGAAAGTCATAAAGTGCTTTTGTTTTCTAGAATAAGCAATGATGTACCATTTTATTTGATTGGACGTACTTAACCAGTTCATCATGCACCAGAAAAGAACGTGAAAGTGCCATTCTCCTTGTATATCACCACAGTTTATGAATATGAACTATTATCAATATCTAATGATCAACTTTGAAGACGATTTCTTGAGCAAATATCTTATCCTTTTTTTTTAACTGTTCAATTTATTCTTTTAAAATCGTTTTGAAAATCATTTGAATATTGAGAAATCAATAAAACTATGTAATGAGACAAGCGAAGTTAAAAAATGATTTTTTTTAATCGTTTCATGTTGTGTTAGCTAATAGAAAAATATTTCAAACTTTTTTCAGATCCAACGATAATTTGACTCTGTTACTTCTTATAAGTTGTAATTTTAATGAAATCTTTCACACTTAAATAAATCCTTTAGATGATCTTGTATAAGAATATTTGATAAACAGTTTGTTGTTTATAATTTTATCAATATTTATAAATTAATAACAAATCAATTGAATATATTGTATTTGCTATTTCCCTACATAATTCAGATATTGTTTTATTCATCTTAAAATATGAGTTGAATACTATTAAATTCTAGCAAGTTTCCAAATCAGTCGTCTTAAAAACACGCAACTCAATAAGAAAATCTTTCTTCAAATGAAAAACATTGATTATTGATGATGAGCTTTTATGCTCAGTTTATGTCAAACATATTATAAAGTAGCAATTTCACAGTTGTCGGATCCATTAATAGTAATTGCAAGAAGATCCATCACTGTAACAAGAATATAAAAATGGATAGATCATCAAAAGATCCCTATAAAACATCTTATGTAAGGAGAAAAAATTCAAACAAAAATAAACTAAAATAAAACATACGATTTCGACATATTGTATTCTATAGAAAAGCATACAAACATCTGTCAAAATATTTCAAGAAAATATTTTTATATATGTTCGATATGATCAATTAATTGAGGGTTAGAATTTCATGAAAAAAGGACACCTTAACATGCTGATCATTATCCGCAAATTTTGTCGCATGATATTAACAATACAAGTATTTGTGATAATTGCGATTCAATTTATTTTAGGAGATGTCATAAATACTTGAATGTTTCCAACAGGTTGAATCTTAACTGTAATTATATTTAACTCAAATTCATTTTATCGTTCACATATGCACAATCATTCATGAAGCATGTACCCAGGAATTTTTCTAAGAGGGATTGACCATTTTCAGGGAAAACTGCCATGATAAAAGCCTGAAATTTTCTTTTAGATGATTGTTTGCTCATCCTTTCAAACAAGTATAGGATGCCCTAAAAGTCGCTGTACCAAAATAAATTCGAATATCTTCATCAGGTTTGAACTAAATGTCCTATCTCTTTTTCTAATGATAGAGGAGTTCTAACTTTTTATTTACAGAAAAAAAACCATAAGAATAACTAATTAAAAATAGAACGAAAAGTATTATAATACAAAAGTTTACCGTATAATTTCACTATGTTTTCATAGTTTTGCGAGCTTTATTGTCTTTCCAATGTCTTCACCAGGTTCGTTGACTTTTCCATAGTTACAAAGGCTTTTTCGAGTGCTTTCTTGTGCATGAAATTTTCGAACAACCGGGAAGACTGCTGTTGTCTCTTCTTGAAAACACAAATTTTTTGTATTGACATAACTTGTCTTAGTTTTTAATTAATATTCTTAAATGTTTTCTTCTCGATAAAAACTTGGAACTCTCTTCTATCATCAGAAGGAAAATCAGCTTATATACTTAAGACTCAATGAAGATATTAGAATTTGTTTTTAGTAACTTTGAGAATGTCCTATATTTTTCTCCGCCAAAGGGGAAGGGGAGAATTGATTCCTCAATCCTCTCTGCTGAGCAGGTTACTGGAAACATTGACAAAGATTCTTTCAAAGTAACAATATTGACTTCAATGAAGAAATATGATTGTCTAAGAATTCCACAACGAAATCATGTACAGTGTATTCTAAAAGTTATTTTTGAAAAATAAATTAGCATACATTCATTATACTGTACCAAATAGATTAATTGGTTTCCAATTATAAAAGAATACTTCCGATTTAATTCGTTTCAGACAACATAAGATACCATATAATATAAAACTATGATATACGTACATACTGTTTTTTCGAACCCATAAGAGATATATTATTTTTATTGAAGTCACAAATGATACTTCGAAGTAGTTTTATCAATATCTTTTCTTTACGTAAATGAGTTATGAATATGTTTCCATCATCAGTGGTAAAAAATTCAGCCGAATTGGTCAAGATATTCCAATACTTTTTTAATAACTTTTTGGGCATCCAGAAAACTATCATACAATATTGTTTCCTCAGGTTATCACTTGCTGATAATTAATATAATTTTTTTTTATTTACTAAATGAAATTTCAATATATTTTATAAGCATCTACGGGCCACTAGAGACCAATTAGTGGTAATTACCATACCTAAACAATTTTATCAGTAATGTAAATAAAATCAGAACATACTCAACTGCTTACTAAAAATGTGTTTACATTTTTTTCCTAAGAGGTGACTCGATATATTGTCATACCTAAAATTTGGATGTTGACCCCTCAATGTGCGTAAGCATTAGAATAAAAACAAACGACTAGATCATATATTGATTTAATCCAAGTTTTATTGTTTTTTCTTAAAGTTATTGTGAAATATTACAGATATGAACACATTTTTAGTGAAAGAAAACAGCAGTAAAAATATAGATTGTTTAAATGTTCAAATTCTAATTAACATCTCTATCATCCAAAGATTATTTTCATCAAAAAATCGCTGTTTGCTTTATCTTATTCATATATAAATGCATAAACAACTGAAATCAATGTCGAATATAATGAAGACAATGTTTTCTTATTAAGATAGGAAAAGTGACATTAAAAAAATGTTTATTTAAAAATAAATAATAATATCATCATCCACATTCATCTCCATGAATATTCATATTATGATGATTGCCTGCGAATAATTCACTTTCGGGATTTCTTTTACGATTTTTCTTACTTAATTTCGCAAATAAATTTTCTGTTTTATCAAGTAGTGCAAAAACATCGGCATGTGCACCACCTATTTTAACACCCATATGAGCACAACAAATATTTTCAAAAGGCCAATCATGTAACATATTACGCATCCAGTCACGAAATAAATATGGAGCATCACTTGTCGGATGAAGACCAACACTTTTTATTGATGGATGAAAAGCCATCGCACCATCTTTATAACCAAATAACTTGAGTAAAAAACTAGGTTTATCTGTATAAACTATTGTATCATCAACATGAAGAGTAGCAGATGCTGGATGATAGACAAAAACACATGTAAAATGATTCGATGATTCAGGTTGTGGATTGATAAATTCGGTACCTAGAACAAAAAAAAAAGCCTGACCAAACTTTGTACTAAGTATTGATTAATATTTAAGAAATATTTTATATACATTTAATTTGACTATGAAATTTGAAGTTCATTATATATATATATAACTGACCTGCTGGAATGCGTAGTTCTACATCTGGCTCCCATTTTTTTCTCACATCACAATTATTGAGACTTCCAACCCATGGAATTTTTGTCAATCGATGTAAATGTCTTGGTGTTCCATAATAAGCTGCATTTGGATATGCTTCATAAAAAGTTCTAAATGATAGAGTATGAAATGGATGTGTACCAATTACTGCTTCAATTTTATTTCCATTATCTGTTAAATGATTAATTTCTTGTCGAAGATTATCATTGAGTTCGACTGTATCAATAATAAGAAAATTTCCATTATGTAATTGTATCAATGACATATGTGTTTCAATATCAATCAATTTAGCGAAAATTTTAAAATGACTACGAACATTCCAAAAACCAGAACCAATTTGATGTAATTCATATTTATCGACATTTTGAATAGGATTTAAACTTTGATGAGATAGAGTTGTTGGCATCATACAAAATAAAGTAAAGATAGATCTGAAAAATAAACTTTATTTTGTACTTCTTTCATGCAGAAAAAAGTAAAATCTCTAACAATCAAATGTTAGTCTATGTATACATTTGTATGAAACTATAAAATATACTGGTAATATATTGATCGAAATGCATTGAAAGAAAAAGCAATGAGTTAGCTATTTGACATTGCATGTCGAAGAATGACAAACACCAAACTAATCGAAATAAATATTTAGATAAAAGCTAACTAAAGAATAAAAAATATCGACTAGAGATACCCTTTTATCTTTATTTTACTAGTTAAGAAAAAATAAAACATTCACTTGCCACTTATTTTTTGTCTTATTTCTCGTCAAAAAAATAAAACGAGATAAAGATACTTCACTTTACTATATTAAATGCCAGAATACAATGTCATTTCGACATGTAAAAGAGTGATCAAAAAAAAAAAAGCTCATTGATCAATTTCAAACTCTGTAAGATATTCTTGAGATACTTTCATCTTAAACATGTTAACTTCCAATGAAATCGGAATCGATACCACGAAGACAATAATTAAGGATTATTTTATCTTTATTTTGTTTTGAAAGGAAGAATAATAAATACAAGAAAAAAAAAGACAATATTGCACTAACATTCGTTAGTTCTATCAAACAACAAATATATTTACAAATTTATTCATAAAAAAAATCATCGACGGAATCATAATCATTAAAAACATTTTCTGGACGATAAGTTAATGAATTAACTAAAGTCAACCAATCAGGACATTGATTTGGATTAAGTGCACTAACATACCAAACATGATCAACACCTTGAAGTTCAGATTCACAAATTTGTTGATTTATTTTTTTTTTAAACTCTTGTCTTTTTTCAATAGGTACTAAATCAAATTTATTGATAACAATATCATATCGAAGATTAAGCGCATCAAGAAGATGAAAAACATTTGTCATTTCTGTAATTGTTGTTGTTATTAATACTAATATTTTTGTCAATCCTTTCCAAAAAGCAATATATTCCATAGTAAAATAAGACATATCATCATTTTTATCAGGAATATCAAATAGACGACAATTTTGTCCTTCATAACGTTGAATTTCTTTTGTTGTTTTACCAGCATCTTTGTCAGATAAATCATATCCAAGTAATTTATTAATTATTGTACTTTTTCCTGTTGATGTTAAACCATAAAAACCAAAAGCACGTCCACCTAATCGAAATGGTTTAGTATTTGATGCAAGTTTTACAATAGTTTGAGCTGCATGTTGATTAACTTGTTGAAGATCTTCGTATGAATTTATTCTTTGTTTTTTTATTTGTTTATGAAGTTCATTAAATCTATTCATTAATTCAGTATTTTCTTCTCTATAACGATTAAATTCTTTAATTAAATTTGAATTCATTTTTGCTACAGTTTTTGTTCTGAATTGTAAATAAAAACAAAGATGAAACTATTAGAATTCGTTACAACGAAACTACTTACCGTTGCTGTCTATACTTCTTTCGACAGATAAACTAACTTGTCTTTTATGTACTACACTTTTTATAAAGTAAAAGTTAGTGGGAAAGATAAAAGGTGTAAAGAATAATTTTATTATTCATTTAACAATAAGTACGCTTCATTGAGTAATCTTGTGACGCACAAGATTAAGAAAAAGAAGAAAACGTCATATTCATTAGTAATATTCATCATGTGAAATTGTCCCTTGTGAACCTTTCTCTCTCAATCACAATCGTAATGTAGGAAAATGAAATCATTGGTTTTTTTTCGAAACTCTATATGAAGAAAATGAATGGGATTTATCCTATTGTTATTACAATTAGTCAGTGATGGCTCGAAGCAGCCAACATTATTGGAGAGGGGGGGAAGGAGTGTTACATCCCCGACAGTTCATCGATCAATTCACCATTGCGATGAGTAAACAAGTGTTTTTTTTTTACTTTTTGTAGGTAAAAGAACTTGATCTGATTAATATCAATAGAAAAACTTCATGTAGATAATAGTTCTTATTTAATTTCTCTTTTCATTTCACGAAATCATTCTAATATTAAATTTATATCTGATGTTATATCTCTTGTTGCTATTATACGAAAAACTTTTCAAGATAAAAAACGACTTGAATAGTTAGAACAATTTCAAAAACAAAATATAGAAATATTAGCTAAATGAAAAGCTCTGACTGCATAATTCAAAGAAACAAAAATTGATTCATTCGAAGACATTGAAATATGTGGTCAAAAGGCAACTGTAGTTTTCGTTGAATTAGCTTGACAAACAGAATCTCTTCATATGAAGGAAATCAAAATGTTGAATATTTTGATTTAAAACCGACAAGAATAAGTATAATTTTAAATAAATAAATTCTTTAGTAATCGGTGATGCATGTATATGACATATGCTTTGTCATCACGTGAAACTAATGTAATCACTTATAATGTATATTTTTTCGACATATTGACGTAAGAGAAAACGTTAAACAGTGGGAGTTGTCAATATTATCGTTTATTTACGGTCCATATTAGATTTCTACATTAAGTAACGAAAATGTGCTTGATGTAAAGTCACTGTATTTTCTGTAGGTGTGTCTTTTGTCGGTAAACAAAAGGTTAATCGAAAATGACGTTGTTGATGTTAATGCTTATGAAACAACAAAAGAAATTCGATCATATACGTATATTGTTCAAAGATATTGTCTCTATAATATTTCAGATTGAAATCATGATCTTACAAAATTTACTATGAAATATTTTGCATTTTGAAAACTATTCATGTCTTGACTTATTTTTATGACAACAACAACTAATGAAATGATGATAGTTTCTCTTTGTTTTGACACAGTTAGCATTATACATGATGTTGTTGCCAAAAACTTATCGATTGTGAATTTCAAGATGTCAATCATATTTGATTTATTAGTGTGAAATCCAAATTAGTTTCCTGATTGAAATAGTATGATTGATTATTTGTAAAAGTTTTAGATATAATACTAATCTTTCATAATATTCACAAAAAATAACCAGTCATCTTTTGACGCATAACTACATGATTCTTATATCTTTCTATCGACTTTATAATATAGTTAAGAAAGTTAAAAAAAAAAAAGAATAAAGATCTATACCTAATTCGTAAGTATAATCTTTCGAAAATTTAGTGGAATATATAAAGATTTGATTGAAATATTTCCCTTAAAACAAGTATAAATTGTCTTTTTTTTTATATATTGAAATCAACAAAGTAAAATAAATAACTAATATGAAATGATTAATTTTGTTTTTGATGGAATATTTAAACAAAATCATTGATATTTAATAGATTTATTTCAAAGTGACGGTGGTTAAGAAATATTATAATAATCTCAAAAATGTTTCTTATCGTACATTTTGTATTTAAATAAATATAAGTGGAAAAATCATTATAGTGTCAAATGATAACTCATTCAGATTAGTGTTACACAATCATGTTGATAGTAATTCTAAATTATGAATTCAGCAATAATAACTAATTGTTACTTATTAAAGAAAAAATTTTCAAATAGTTCATAAAGACTTTGTAATTAAGAACTTAATAAAAACAAATTTCTTTATATAAAGAAAAATATATTTATTTGGCAACAAAAACAAGTGAAACAATGTTTCATACGATGATTTAGGAGGTAACTATTGTGGTCTAATTCAATAGTAACTTGTCTGTCATTTTTTCTTCGTTTAATATTGATTCATCAGTAGTTGGAGTAACAGTTACACGATGTATTGTTTCACCTTTTGCTTGAAGCATTTGGGCAATATTTCTATAAGAGAAAAACAAAAGATTTTCTTTGATATAGATAAAACACAAAATATTACTTGAATTTTCCATTTTGTGTTAAATCTTTAAACCAACCTAGATTATCGGCAATTAAATGAAGACTTGAACATGAATCACATCGAATAATAACAACTCCTTGTTCATACGATTGACGAGTAAAAGTTTTTTGTAATCTATGATCACATACTTTACACGTAAATTGAATTCCCATTCGTTTAGATTCTTCTCCTTTATTTATATTAGCTAAAGGAATTTTAGATTGATGAATATTATCATTGGATTGTGATGAGAAATTTCGAAGAAAATTACGATGATAATTAGTTATAATTTTCGAAGAACTAATTGTTATTCGACTTGTTGCAACAAGACGTGCTAACGTAAGACGAAGCATTTATTTTAAACAAATTTAACAGGATCAAATAAAAATCAGACGTAATGAATATTGTGAAAATGATACATATACATGTAATGCAATGATATGTCTTGATTGGTTTCATCGATCAGAACCAATCAGATCAGTCTATTCGTGGATGTCGCTATTGTTCGTTTATTTTTTATAAATGTAACATAATAATAAACATATACACTGAAATCCATATGGCTTTCTTTATCAGAGATATTTGCATGCCAATAGACAAATATTATTTGTCTACAAAAGCACTAAAATACATTATCTTGTCGAATTCTACGTTTAACGCAATCAAAGGTATAAATATGATCTAGAGAGATTTCTATTTAGTACTGAACTTGGTATCATGAAGTAAAGAAATAGTGAAGACGGTTTTCTTAATAAACAATAAAAAACAAATCAAATTTTTCATGAGAACATAAATTTTGCTTGTTTCGTCGATGAATACACAAAGAAGAATTATCAGAAGGGATAGTTCGAGGTAGTCAAGATTGGAGAAGGAAGAAGAAACGGCATATCGACCCTTGTTGCGGAAATTAGTGAGAAAAAACAATGAAGAAAATTGTTCAGTTTCATTTAGGAAAAACGAACGTTATTCAAAATTGTTGGAGGGGGTGAGTCACTCCTCCGACTCCTCTCCTTACTCGGAACACCCATAATTATTACATCATCAAGTAAAAATCTTTTTTTTACAGAAAACTGTCGGCATGACTTTGTAGAAATCTCTATTGCATGTCAATGCACGTCATATAATAGCAAATCACATATGTTTCTGTACTAATTTTATTTTTATGTTTGATTAAATAGACGAAAATTTCGGCACAGTTTCAGATAATTGTATCCAGTTTAATATTGAGAGATAAATTTTCCAAGGTACCATAAAAGAATTGAGGGCGTGCGAGTGTGAATGATAAGAAGATTAACGCTTCAGACCAACACCCATCTACACACCTGCACCCTCAGTGTGCCACTAGGTAATAGGCCGTATTGCATGTATATCATCGACTCTATGGATTAGAGGTTCTGAAGGTCTTTGTTGCATCGAACTAAGTTTGTATGTATACGAATATGCGCCTGGAGAGTGAGCGTTTTTGGCTGTTTGACTACGCTCCGATATCACTTCCATAAGAAAGAGAAGTTGACGATGATTGGGTGGAATCGAATCGAGTATGATGAGAGAATTGCGAGAATTCCGCACATCCGACGATTCTGCTATTGTCACATCGACATTGAGCATGCGATGAGTAGATGTATTTTCAGCGACTAATGCACGCAGTTCACCCACATGTTTCAAAGAGTAAACGCAATAATTGTTATGCTATGAAAAGGAAATAAGAAAATTTATCTTCATTTGATACTTAAAAAAATATTTGAAAAACTCGTCAGACTTTCATAACCACCTTAGTCTATCCTTTTGCAGGTAGTCAAATATACATTTGGAGATCATTAGAAATCTTTTTCGAATAAGTTCGAGTCCTTATCAATGAATTGAGAATATCTATAAACTAGTCAATTTATGTATGGATTCATCGATCAGCTTACGTATCAAATTGATTTTTCACCAAGTAACGTACAAAGAACGGCAATCAGACAAATAGGCATATAATTCTTATTTTTAGTTGACTGGTTTACATGGGTAAGAAGTCGTATTTGAAACTCTCTGTATTTTGAATTTTCCACAAACATCGATGAATAGCTATTCATGATATCGAGTACCCTTCTTGTCGATATGAGTCACCAATTCGTTTCGATTATTCATAGGATTTACTCAGTAGCTTAAATTGATTCTATAGGCGTCATCTGAATGATTGTCTTTAGAAATTTCCTAGTGACAAATGAAGAATTAAAAGGTTCATACCTTTTTGGGTGTAGAACAATTTTTCATAATAGCAGCGATGAGAGAATCAGTCAAAAGTTTGCCCGATTCTTCGACAATAACCAAATCTAATTGAGTGAATGAATGAATAACTAACGTGAATTTCATCTCATCAGTCATATTTCTCTCTTGATGCCAATAGGAAGCAGAGAATGGAATGAGTACATAAGTGCCTTCAGACAAAGTACCTGTCCAATGAGTGTGCTGTTTGCGGCGACTACACAATATGGCGTATTGATCACCGATACGACTGTTTTCAACAATATTGCAAAGTACAAATGATTGGGTATGATTAGCATAAACGCGTTTTCGATCGGAACGTTGGTGAAATAGACCAACTGTTATCGTCGAAGATCTGTACATAATTTCAATGAGAAAATATTTGTAGTAACGGCTATTCAAAATAACTGTCTACCAGAAACTTCTCACCTGTCTAAATAGAAGTAGTATGCTTGTACTGAATGTGCTGCATGTGGAGTGAATTGGCCCTCCAGTCTGACATCGAATAAATTATCCCGATAAGAACAGATGGTCAAATCAGCAAAAAATCGTCGAAATGCTCTCCATGACATCCAGAAGGAACCAGCCGATGGATCAACTCTATTCACATTTTGAAGACGTTGAAATACTTGAGTCGTTATGTTATCGTCTGTATAATTCGATCGAGCATGTGGATTTCTCAATAGGATAAATCGTTCGTTGGATGAGATGGCATGAGTCATTCGAACAGAGTACACATGATGTCTATTAAGATGAACTCTGTCGTAGTCAGCTTTGGAAACATCCTTGCGACCTGTCGAGGCACCAATCAATAGACTAAATCAATTAGAAGAGTGAGGTATACTTTAGAAATTATGATATAGAATTCTCAATTTGAGAAACAAAGCAGTTTTATGCTAGCTATAGACGAGCGTCTGGTTTCGTATACTGAAATACATATTTGCATGGATCACAGCGTCTGTTAGAATCCTTGCAAAAGAGTTGCTCAAACAAGAATGTCGCCCATGTAGTTTATTAAGACGCTACGATGCATGTATTTAATAAACCTAGATCCATTGTTTACTTTCCTGGAAGGTTATCAACTCGTCATGTTCTGATTCTATCAAAAATCATTCTCGTGAAATACTTGATACACTAATCAACTAGTCGTATTCGAATAATCAGGGTGAGAGAAATATAAAGGAAAAATTCTGTGTACTGACTTAGCTTCGCATGCTGAGACGAGTTTTGTCCACAGGATATCTCGATTATCGTTATCTTCATCATTTAGTTGATCTAGGGTGATTTGATCAGAAGGAGCACCAGTAAGCAGTTGTAAACCTTCTCTCATGGAACCTCTACACAAGTTACTATACGATCCATGTACTTTAGCACACGCCTTCTCAATCAGTGGGGCAAATAATTGTTGTCGCCTAGCCTAAAAAAAAAGAGAATATATTCATCGCATTATATTTGTGTTATATTATCCGACCTTCGTGAAGGCAAGATGTTTTCTTGCTGTACACGGAAAATAATCATCAAGTAACACTGTTTTCCATAATCCATTGTGACAAATACGGACTAAATAAATACCTTGTTGATTAACTATGGGCGTCAGAAGTATGTGTGACAGCATCTGTGGTCTCTCAGTGACCAGTGCCAATGCAGCCATCAGCCAACAATCTCCTAAATGACCTTGTTCGATGTCGTCCGATTGTGGATCGAGCATGACTGTCCATAATCCTTTTTTCTTCTTTTCTTCATCGGCAATATCTTGAATGCGAAGCCACTGTACGACAGACATATCTTCACTGCCTATTGATCTGGATGATGGTGAGAATTGATCATCGACAAAATTTATACCATTCTATACATCAATTAGTTATCATCGGTTTCGAATCGATCAATCTTGTCAACTACGTATTTACCTCCTGACAATATTGAAGAATATCAGTGAATCGACGTTCTGCATCAGCTTCATCGTTGTGTTGCTGTTCATATGCTGTGAGTGAAAGAACCGTAATAGAGTTTGATCTCTGCAATTGTGTTTTTATTCTGGTTGCATTTGTTGTTTCGTGATTTGTCTAAAGAAAAAGTCGAGATATTCATACAATTCTTTGTCTGTTTCTGAGAACTCCTCGATCGCAATCATCAATGACAAGAACAGATTTTAGTGATGAGAAAAAAATTTAGGAAATCGATCACAAAAAATTTCTATAATTCATTATCTGAGATTCTAATCTTTGTAAAGACTATTTCTCTCATGGCCAATTTAAATTTGCAGTGTACATTTGCATTCCTATCGATTATGATGCATTTTATTCTTCACTTAAAGTTCAAACCGAATAATTTCAAGCAATATTGGATTAATCACAATGTGAGAATCGATATTTCAACATGAATTGATTCGAAAATAAGTGTTTTTGACAATCCATTTTTAAAGAAATCATGAATAACAGCTCAAATTTCATTTGAATTTTTCTTGAAAAAATGACACTGCTTATTTAAGATCGAAATGATGCATTTTGAATAATGTTTCAAAGAAAAATCTATCAAGAACGAAATACTATCAGTAAATCCTTATAAAAATCTATTCTTTTTTTTTGGCAAAATTCTATCACTTGATGATCAATATTTACCTTGTTCGAAGACGAAAGAGTCAATGTACTTCCGCAAAGTTTACATTGTTTCTCGGTGAATTGGTTGAAAGAAGCACAAAAATGACATAACCAATCGATTGGAGCTGGAGCTATAGTTAGTGAATTATTGTCTGTGTCACACATTTCACAAGTCGGAAAGGCCGACCGTGAATTTAGAAATGTGCACGATATACACGACCATGATTTACTGGTGGTCGGCGACAGAATAGCGGTAGCCATGTTGTTTTTTTTTCTTGCCTACGTGCGAGACACCTATGCGAAAAAATACTTAATCGTTACTTTCTCGTTCTGTTCTGTTCTGTTCTTTTTCCGTATATTTATTAAATTATCGTGACACATGAAGCACACTTGTGTATAATAACGGGTTTCTGAGTCGACAAAAGAAAAATGTGGAAGATTCCAGGAAAAGCAACGTCGATTAGTATAGAAAGCACACTTATGACTCAGAGGCATTACATAATAACAATTCCAGAATGTTTTTTTTTAATTTAAATCGATTGTGGGATAAAAGCTCTTACAAATAACTGAGCAGATACACTGAACAAAGAGCAAAAGTATTCTGAAAAGCTTTCAGCCTAATTCTTATGGTGCTATTATGTAAAACATGAAGATACTACTTTAATAATAAAGAAGGAACCCAACCACATCTGTCACAGTGTTGTTGGCGACAAAAAGTCACAAAAAAAAACATAGAATTTTCAAAACCTTCACAGAAGATAACAGGCATGCCGAAAAACTTCTCAATAGATCTGTTTCTGTCTTTGATATGAGCTTGGCGAGATTCATTTTTATTGCGAAATAATTAAATACTTATTTCCAATTGTATGGATGTGATCGAGGTTGCAGTTGTTGTTCCAGATGAACAGAAAACTGTCAGTCGCAACCAAGCAGACTTTCCAACAGACGCACACGCCAAATCATCCCCATATACCCCAGATCCACAGTCACATTCCACCCTGATCCCGACCGCCCGCACCTACATAAGCGAAAAATTCATCTGTTCTTATTTGACAAAAAAACACCTACCGATAAGCGAAGAAGATGACCAACGAAAAAAGATACCTTTATTTTTTTCTAATATAATTCAAGAGAGATTTGAGAATAAAAGAAAAAAGAAATGAATTCTAAAAAAATAGAACAAATTAAATTTATTATTTTTCAGTAAAAAATACATCAAATTATCTTAGAAACAAAGTGTTATTTTATTCAGCAAACTATTCTGAGCATATGCTGTTGTTCTAACCAAAATATAAAATAGCATCTATATGGAAAGCTGCAGATGTTCTGTATATTTTGCTTCTGGCTGGTACAGACGTGTGACAGTTCCCAATCGGAGAATAGGACTGATTTCGCTCACAAGTTCTTTTTGAAATAGTTTGTGCTTGTCAGAGCCTTATTTTCTCTCTTCTTGATTATGTAGCTAGACACTACAAGTGTGCTGAATTTGAAGTGTCGAAAACATATAGTTTGGAGAAAATTATAGATGTTCGATAAGCCAGCTCATATGAGAGAAACTGGTTACTGCACTCAGTTCTCAACAAAGAACTTGTTCATAGAGCTGTAAACTGTCACACGCATAATTGACACGCCTACCGTAAGAAATATTGGTATGGATTAACATGGCTCAGGATTAATAAGTGCTTAGCAGTATATGGTATCGTGATATGGAATATTTCATATGATGGTTTTTCCATCTTTAACGAGTGTTCGAGTGTAAATAAATTATTTTTTGAAATAAAAGCAAATACTCCTACAAAAATTTTAAGAAGAAGAAGAAGAAGAAGAAGAAGCGTCGTTATAAGATGTTATGGTTGTTAATTAAATCTGTCGAATCAAATGTATCTTTTCTTCTGGTAAGGAGAGAGATTGATACTAATCTGTCTTTGTTTCTCTTTTTTCTCCTTCTCGATCTTAATGTTTCGAAGATGTGGGTATGGGTGTGAATGTGGACGGATGCTGACGGGTGACCATCTTCTCCTCACTCACTTTCACACCCAACACCAACTCTCGTAGTACGATGATGATAATCAATCAATTCAGTATCGAATACGGATATTAATCTCTGATGAATCATCCGAATATTGTCTAATATACATAGGTAAGACTAAGTAGCATATTGTTTAGAATCTTTGAATGATTATCTATTATTTTGTTTTAAATCAAATCGTCAACCATTTATAGCATTATGTCATTCCAATATTGAAATCGTTAAGTCAAAATGTTGTTGTTTGTAAGTTACAACATTTGAGAACATAATAATAGAATGTTCTGATTTATTTTATTCTTCCACTTTAAGACTTCATGATTTAACTGGTAACTTCTGGCAATTTTACGAATAATTTGTGAAGATATTGGGACACTATAACTTGATGTATTCAAATGCTTTATATTCTTCGATAGGCAAAAAGGTTCTTTGGTTTCTTCCAAGTAAATCATGCTAGATCTAGAAACGAAGCAAAATCTTCTTGATATACATCACCTGTCCTCATCTCAATCGAGTAAAATCTTGGAGATATAAGACGAAGAAAGCCAATCCCCAAAGTTTTGTATCCAGAAATTACTTATTATGTATCCGTCGACTTCCAACAGCTCCATTTCCAAGACCATGACGTAAATGAGTTACAAAGTAATTCAAAAAGCATCATTTACACGATCTACCAGGGTCTAGTAGAGTCTATCAGGGTTTCGTGGCACCCACATCGAGAGAGATGTGATGTAAGTCGTTTTGCAACCACTAAACCCGAAGCCTGGAGATCCTGTTAGTCCCTGTAGACTCTGGTAGACCCTACTAGACCTTGGTAGACTCTGCTGCTTTAATAATTTTGAATTATTTTGTAATTAATCCTTTTTGAATTACTTTATATTTCATTGAAGTCATCCAGTGCTTTCTAATCCATTAAATTCATGATCATTCTTTTGACATAACTATATGAACAAATAATCAACTTTCTCATATATTAAGTACATTAAACTGCACATATTTTTAATTGAACTATAATCAATGTTTAACGAGGGCTTCGCTCATGTTGTCGATGTAATAATTGACCTTATATTAAAAGTACATAGGGTTGGTGCAATTTACAAAAATACAAATTGATTCTAAATCTTCAAGTAACACCGTTTCGTCTCAACTCTTTTGATACATATAATCGTTCTAAAATATAGATGTCCTATTATGATGGATTGCTCGATACTTCAAAGATTCATCCAAACAGTCTGTTTAAAAAAATATTCACATTGATACTAGCGCTAAAATTTGTTAAAAAGTTACTTCAATTCAAATATAAAATTCATGATTCCTTTTGTCTTTTGAATATTTAATTAGTTTCATAAAATTTAATGAAAATATCAATAGAGGACATCATTCTCCCTATTCAATATGGTGGCAGCAACAAATTTTTCTTGTTAGTGAAGTATCTAAACTCTTTTTGTCTTCTAGATCATTTTAATTTAATTAAACTATGCTACTTCGTAGCCTTGTTCATGGAGCTGGTAGATTTGCAGCTCGTTCCCTAGTAAATTGTCTAACATTTGTTTTTAACAATGATTAATTGTTAATTTTAACTTAGTTCCGTAATTTGACAAATACTGTTCAAACAAATCCATCCGTAACATATCAGAAAACTCTTCTTAATGTACCAGAAACTCGAGTAACAGCAATAAAAAATAGTTTACGTGTAGCATCAGAAGATTATGGTCTACCAACATGTACTGTTGGAATATGGATTGATGCTGGTAGTCGATTTGAAACAGCAGAAAACAATGGTACTGCTCATTTTCTTGAACATATGGCTTTTAAAGTAAATAATAAGAATATTTTTCTATCTAAATTAAAACAATAAATGTTCTTCAGGGTACAAATAAACGAACACAACGTGAACTTGAACTTGAAGTTGAAAATCTTGGTGCGCATCTTAATGCTTATACATCAAGAGAACAAACTGTTTATTATGCAAAATGTTTTAGCAAGGATTTACCACAAAGTAAATCCTTTTGATTTCTATTTTTTATTTTTTTATTTTTATATTCAATATAAATGAATAGTTGTTGAACTTCTATCGGATATAATACAAAATAGTCAATTTGGTGAAGAAGAAATTGAACGTGAACGTCATACAATTTTACGTGAAATGCAAGAAATTGAAAATAATTTACAAGAAGTTGTTTTTGATCATTTACATGCAACAGCCTATCAAGAAACACCATTAGGAAGAACTATTCTTGGTCCTAGTGAAAATATTAAGTAAATTTATTAAAAGAAATTTTTCCTCGAATCATTTTTATTTTAAGATCAATCAAAAAAGCTGATTTACTTAAATATGTAAGAACACATTATAAAGCACCACGAATGGTTTTAGCTGCTGCTGGTGGAGTTAATCATGATCAATTAGTTCGTTTAAGTGAAGAACATTTTGGAAAATTACCAGCTGGTTCTCCAGGAAATTTAACTGATCTGACACCGTGTCGGTAAGATTATTCAATTAGTTTTTACTCTTATAAAAATTCAAGAAATGCTTATTTTTTTTTTAAATTAGTTTCACTGGAAGTGAAATTCGTGTTCGAGATGATGTTATGCCATTGGCTCATATTGCTATTGCTGTTGAAAGCACTGGTTGGGCTGATGCTGATACTATTCCATTAATGGTTGCATCGACTATTATTGGAAATTGGGATAGGTAAAACTATTTTATTTTTTGGTTGTTTGATCCTATAATTCTGACAGTTCTAAGAGTAAAGCTGAATAACTAAAATGTTAAAATTTTTTTTGTTCTGGAAAATTAGAGAAGTATTGAAATTCTTTTTCTTTTGATTATAATTTTTAAATTAGTCTATTAATAATTCTAATGATAGAACAGATCGATAGATTATGATATGAATAATTACTTGAATAGATCCATGGCTGGTGGTGGTCATGTAGCAACTCGTCTTGGTCAACAAGCAAATAAATATAATTTATGTCATTCATATCAAGCTTTCAATACATGTTATACAGATACCGGTTTATGGGGAACTTATTTAGTTACTGATCGAATGCGAATTGATGATGCTATGAATGCAATACAAGATGAATGGTATTTTTTTTTATTAAAGATTTATTTTGATTTAAATGGTATTTTGTTTTCTTTTTAATTGTAAAGGTGTCGTATTGCAACAGCATGTACTGATCTTGAAGTAACGAGAGCTAAAAATTTACTTAAAACTAATATGTTATTAATGCTTGATGGATCTACACCAATTTGTGAAGATATTGGACGGTTTGTTTTATTGTGTTTTTTCAAAACTAGAAGATTCTTAAGATTTATTTTTAACATTTTTCAGTCAATTACTTTCTTATGGTCGACGTATTCCCTTACATGAACTTGATACACGTATTGATGTAAATATATTTTTATTATTAAAATGAAAATTTCGATTAATTCAATATAATTATTTTAATTTTAGGCTGTTGATGCAAAGACAGTCATGGCAGCAATGAAACAATATGTTTATAATCATTGTCCAGCTATTGCTGCTGTTGGTTAGTTGATGAGTTTTTCTCTTTTTAATTAATTGAAAGCGTTCTTTATTGAATTGAATTTTTTTTAAGGTCCAATTGAACAATTACGTGAATACAATCGAACACGTAGTCGAATGTATACAATATCACATTGATCAAACAATAAGATCGATATTTTTTTCTCTTAAACTAGTTTATTGATCATATTTGTGAAGAACAGTCATGAATTCGTGTCATTGTCAATGTTAACAATAAATGTAGAAACATGATCTGTTGCTTTATTGTTTTCTGTTGATTACAAAACAAAAGGGTTTTTTTCTGAGAATTGGTCTGTTTTTTTTTAGATTTTATATTTGATAGATATTGAATATTTAAAAAAAAAGATTGATGATGATGATATGCAATTTTGAATTATGTTTCAAATAAAAAAATGATCTTTACTGAATGTTTACATATGGAAAGACAGTTTCTGATGAATAAAATTATTTGTCCTGAAAGAAGAGAGTCATAGAAATTTCAATCAGAATGAATTATATTATTAAGATTAATCTGGAATGAAATATCAATAGCAAGTTATTTACAATGGATCATTCGATTTATTTTTAAAATTCGTTAACAATCAATTCTAAGGGTAACGTGTGCATAAAGCAAAAATTATTGCTAAACTGATTCTATTATTATTAATTATACACTTAATTGCATAACTTATGCCTGAAATCAATTTTTATTTCACAAGCTTTGCTTTTGCATTTCTCATTGTTTGCTCGTCGATTTGAATTGATCTTTTTTTTTATGTGATGATAAATTGCTCAATAAGATTTCACTATTTCAAATATAAAATGGTTTAATTCGTTTTTAGATATGAAGGATTCAACTGATCTACCATTGATCAGTGAAAATTCGTTGTCAACATTAACACGTATTTGTATCAATGAAATAGCCATACGTAATCATTCATATATAATTTCAGTGTGTATTAAGAATTTTGAACAAAGTCAAATAGATATTAAAGTTCGAGCAAAAGAAAGTGCTGATCAATGGAAATCGAGTTTTGATGTAAACGGTGAATATTTCATTATTCTTTGTAATATTAATCTTTGATTTTATATTGTAATAGCTATTGAAACAATGACAGCAAAAATGGGTAATTTTAAATCATTTAATGTATTTATTAATATGCTAGAAGATGCCATTAATCAAGTAAAATTAATAAATTTTATTGAAGTTTTTATGAATTTATTTATTAAATCTAGAAAAATTCATCAGTAAGTATTGATTTATATACTTCTGATGATCTTGAATTAATACGTAAAAATCAACAAGATCAAAATAAAATTTCTAAAACAAAATCATCAAATAAACGTTATTTAATATTAATATATAATGCTGAATATGATCGTATTTGTTATCCATTATCTCTTCGGTATTGTGGTAAACCAGATACAGTTATTTTAGTAGGACAAATTTGTCAATTAGCAACTGAAAATGAATTATTAAAATCTCGAGTATTTCTTTTTTTTTCTGTAAAAATTTTTAATAAAATTTAATTTGTTTTTTTTTCTTTTGTTCTGTTTTAGCTTGGATCAGATACTAATCGTTGTGATCTTGAAGAAGAGTAGATATTTTTCTCTTTTATCTTATCTAATTAAGATTATATTTGACTAGATGTTCTCGTTTGAAAAAAGAAAATGATGATTATCGTCAACAATTATCATTACATGATGGAAAAGAAAAAAATTTACAAGTTGAATATTTACGTCAAATGATTCGTGAAAGTAAATCTGCTTTAATTAAAGAACGAACTAATTTACAAAAGACAAAAGCAGTAAAAGATGATCATGGTAAAAAATTTAATAATCAAGTTTGTTTTAGCTTTTTTACTAAAATAAAAATAAATACAAAAACAAATTTTTATTTTCTAGATTGAATTATTAAAAACATCCGAAAGACAATTGAAATTAAAAGTGAAAAATTTAACAAATCGAATAAATTTACTTAAGAAAAAGTAAATAGAGAATAATTATTTAAACAGATATTTAAAAATATTATTAATATGTTCGAAACTTGAATTACTCTTTAATAGAAACAATAAAATTATTGATTGATGTTTAGGATTTAATTGAAAGTGAAGCTGAGAAAAAAAAAATTTTTCAAATAAACTGAATTATTTTATAAGAATCATACTTCAAAGAGAAATTTATTTAAATAAAAAACCAGATTTAGTTTCGTCTTTGCATTATAAACATATGAAATATGATCAACAACATATTTCATCTTAAATCGATGATTTTAATAACATTTCTTATATTTAATATAATGCAGAATTTTGAGTTTAAGTCGAGTGAAACTGTTTTTTAAGTCATCGAGAGAATCAAGAAACTAGGATTAAGAGAAAAATATCAGTTACTCAGTCATTGAATCATCTTTGTATTTGCTGTTATTATCGAGTGTCTCGATCGGAGAGTAGATACATTTTTGTGCACATAAAAAAGATGAAAGAAAACGATAACAATAACATGATTCTAATGACTTGCATAGATTCGACGAATAAGTGAATGATTTATATTTTCTCAAACTTTCCTATCTTGAAAATCAGTACTGTATATAATAAGAAAACGTGTTATATCGTTGACAGATGAGAGATATCAAATTTCTTTTTCTAAAGTAAATTGCCACATACATTTTATATTTTAACAAAAAAGCAAATAATTCATCTTGTAGAAAAACAAAAAAATCGAAAGAAATTTTCAATTTTGATTTTATATAAAATTGAATGCATACAGAATTCAATCAACTTTTACAACAGGATTCGCCTAAAAAAGTTGAGAAGTTTTTCTTTATGAAAAAGAGCGTGTTATACGTATATGATAAAAAACAGAAATTTGCTCTTTTCAATAAATAAAAATTCAACTTTATAATTTATTGAAAACATATGAAAATACTCATTGAGATTTTTCCCATTATTTTCTATTCGATTTGATGAAAAAGTTTTGTATTTTAGTTGTTCACCATGTGATTCTCAACAACGATCATCTTCAGTAGATTGTTCAAAATCAGCTCATCAACAGCGATATCGTTCAACAAGTGGTAGTAAACGATTACCATCGTCAACAGGTAACATTCTTCTATTAGTTTATTATTCTCTGGATTTAAAATTCTTTAGATTCTCATGTTCGTTTTAATCCAACTGCTTATATGCATGATAAAAATCTTAAATTACAACAGATTGAATTACAAAAGTAGTTTTTTTTTCTTGTTATATTAAAAATTCAAAAAAAAAAGAAAACATGATTTTTTAGAAAAAAAGAAACTCATCAAAGATTGAATAGTGGTCGGCGTCATTCAGCTTGGGATATTAGTGGTAAATTATTTCTTGTCTTTTGATCAATAAAATCTATCTTAATCTTTTATTTTTCATAGATTCTAGTTTGAAATTTAATAATAATAATAATAATCGATATACATCCAATTCAAGAAATAATTCACAGTTTGTTTTTTCTTTTGTTTATTTCTTTAGTTTTAATAGGAAAATCTATTTTCTCAAATTATAGCCGGAAACGAACGAACAATCTTAATCGACATAAATCTAAGGACTCAATCGATTCAGTATGTTATTTAAAGCAATAAATAATTTGATAAAAAAAAAAAAGATAATCACTTTAACTTTCTCATAGGATATAGAATGTGTCTCATCACCAATTATTTTACATAAAGCTGCATCGAATAATTCAACAAAAATTCTTCTGCCTGAATATTCTAATTATGATCAACAAAGTATGTATTTTCATAAATGAGAATTTTGTTTTTTTTTTTAAATGAAATTGTTTCTAGATGAAAAATCAACATTACGAAATTTGACTAATACTGATACTATGATTGATGTTGATCAACGATTAAAATCTTTAGAAAAATTCATCAAACAAAATATAAAACATTAAGTTATTCTTCTCGACTTGTATATATTTGTTTTTGTTTTATTAGCATTAGTTCTTTTTTTTTTATTTAGTAATAAAATAAATGAGAATGAAAATCTACTTATATTGAAAAATGAATTATTTCATATTTATGGATAAATAGAAATTATGTTTGTGTCTGAATTAACGGAAATTAATGGGAAAATGCTTTTTCCATAGAATAATAAATAAAAGAGAGGATATTCTTTAAATTCATTCTTATTATATCTTAAACTTTACAGATAATATTGCAGTTATGACAATTGAGAATAAAACACGAATGAATCTGATACAATTTATTCAAATTGGAACACTATCATGAAGCTTTATAATATCCCTGACATTATTTGTCTGAAGAAGATATCCAAGGTCGAATAACAAAAAGAAAACAACTTATCTATTAAGCGAAAATAAAAAAACATGTGAAGCTTCTATCTTATTTACTCTTTTAGTTTTTGTTATTTTTTTATAATATAAATAGACAATATGCTTAAAATAGAAGTCATTAAATCTGTTTATTGAAAATAAACATAGGAAATAAAAATAATATTTTCATAAACTATAATTGGAATGAGAAAAAATACGAAAACTCATCAATCTAAAAATCTATGTTAACAACGGAAATAATTGAATGTAATGAGAGAAATTATTATTGTTTATAAGAATCTATCAAAATATGCTAATGAAAATCTATATCGATGAGTTCAGGTCGAAAATTCTCAAATGTTTATCTGTTGTAAGAAATTTAGGTAGCTGTTAGAAAGATATTTTATCAATTGTGAATATTTTTTATCGTTTATCTTTTTTCTTTTGTTTCATTTTCATTCAATTTCAAACAATAGTTATTCATTGAAAAAGCAGATTTAATTGATTTTAAAATCATAATTATTTTCATCTATACACCAGGAAGAACAACATTAAAAAATAAATCTCAAGGGTAAGAAAGAAAGTTAAAGTTTAATTATGGTACATCATTTTGTTCTTGTTGTTCTTCATCTTCTTTAACAAGAATAACTGCTTCAGTAGCTAATCGAACAACTAATGGACCTAGAAGAGCTCCCCATGCTCCTAATAATTCTATTCCACCAAAAATTGTTAATAATAATAATAATGTTGACATATTTAAGGAACCAATTTTTGAAAACATTGGTCGAAGTAAATTATCAATAGATCCAATAGCTAAAACTCCAACAATAATCATAATAACTGCTTTTAAATAAGCTTGTTGAATAAAAAGACCAATTGTTATTGGAATCCAAACCATAGCTGTACCAAGTATTGGAATTAATGAACAAAAACCAGTTAAAACACCAAGTGCATACCAACGTGGAATTTGTAAACATAAATAAGCAATAGCAGCAACAAAACCTTGTACAGCACAAGTTAAACATACACCAATTAAAAGACCACGTCCTGTTTCTTGAAAAGCGTCTTTAAAACGTTCCATATGTTTAGCTGATAATGGACTATGTGCCACTGTCCACGTCCAAAGTTCAACACCTTGTAATAAAAATGTATATGTTGATACCAAAAATATTAATATACCAATAATGAACTAAAAATGAAATATTTATTTATAATTATATTTATTTTTTTTAATCAACTAACTTGAGCTGTAGCACCAGCAACAGTTGATAAAACTGATAAAGCTTTTCCACCAAATAATTGTACAACATCGGTTAATGTATCTCGTTGAATTAATAATCGTTCTAATAAATTAAATGTAGCATTTTTTCCACCTTTTATAAAATCAATAAAACTATTATTTGTAGAGTTGAATGATGATGATTCTTTTGAATTATTATCATTCTTATTTATTGGAGGTACAAGAAGATTTATTGCATTGCGAGCGGTTGTAGAATTTGACAGACTTGCAACAAAATTAAGTGTTGAACCAGTTAACGCAATTACTATTAAAACAATTGGTATTATCACAACAATTCCAAAGAAAACAAGTAAAAATGCAGCTATTGCTGAACGAGAACTTTTTTCCCGGCATCGATTTATTAACGGTCTAAAAAGAAAATAGTTTATATCAATATATTATAATAAGTTAATATTTATTTTAATTTTCTAAATTCTTTCACTTATTTATGTTTCAATTAGTGATAGATTATTATTGTATAGAACAAAAAAAAACAACGTTTTCGCTTGAATGAATATTCTAATTTGATCACCAATACTCAAGTTTTATATAAGTGCCCTTCTATAGAATATTCTCGATCAATAATATTTTTAACGACTTAATATTAATCTTTATTTTTATTATTAAAATTGAGTCCTATATGAAAACAAATAATAAAAATACCGACATCGTCTCCAAAAATAAAACAACCAATAATGATTCAAAGTTTGTTTTTTTTCTTACTTATTCTTTTAAAATTTTTGTTTTTTAGGAAGTAAACTTACAAATGATTAACAAGCCATTCAAGAACTGGTCGACATATACTTGATAACCAAACAGCAAGAATTAAAATTGAAATATAACGCCATATTATAATTATTGTTCCAAGTGATAAAAAAAGTGCACACCATCTCATAAGACGTTGTTGAATTAATATTTTACGTGTAACTAACATATTTGACTTATTTTTGTCGTATTGATCGTATTGAGATATTTGTATTGAGAATGGTGTGTTATCAGTGATCGAATCAATAGCCTCATCTGGTGTCACTAATGACGGAGGCGGGTTTTTTGTTTCATCATTCATAGTTCCCCGTTTTTAAACGGGTGAATATTATTTTCGCAATTGTGTCTGGCCAGATGCTGATGTTTTACTCTTTTACTTCTCCTATTTTTTTCTTTTTCTCTCGGTCTTTTGGTGTGACACGCTAAAGAAAAGAAGAAAAAAAAAACGACGATGCAAAGCTATTAGAGAGAAAAAAAAAACAAGATGGATTGACTATTTTGTGGATGTTGGTACCAGTCTTAGGCACATAAAAACAGACAGAATGAAAGAATGTCGATTGAGAGTAGATCGGCAAAAAAACAATATCTATTCTTTATCATGCTCAGCTATGCAAGCTTTTTATGGTAGAGAAAAGTAAATCTAATCAACAGATTATTATTTTGACCATTAACATGAGATGTAAAAATTAATAACTCAATGTAACTGTCAAACAGGCAAGAAAAATTCATTATATTCATATTCCAATCATTATGATGCGTATCGTTTGCAACATTGAAAGATAAAATCTAAGTATACATTAACATAAAAATCAATTAGATGTATAACAACTAAAACACACTATGATTCATTTACATAAACAACAGACGTTTTGCTTCCGAAAAAAAAAAGGAAAATTTTTACAAAATATAATCTTTATTACTCAGGCATAAATCATTGAATATGTTTTAGTGATTATCTATATCATATTATTAAATCTCATAGTTTAAAGTTTTCTTAGGATAAACGATTTCATTCTTCGAAAAAAAAAAGAAGAAAAATATTGAAAATTATTTTGAAGCGACATTAGCAAATATTTTTATTAAATTCTAAACATAAACAGGAACACGTTTGAAATGCTTTTTTTGTCTATATTTTACAAGACAAAATATAATACTAGAAATAATAAGAATTAAAAGTAAAAGAATAATACTACCAAATAAAAATGACATCCAAGAAAAAGATTTGGTTTTTTTAGATTTTGATGGTTTATTTTTGTCTTCATCGATCGAATCAAAATATATAATTGGTGTTGAAAATAAAACATTAGAAGGATATCGGAAAGTTGTTAAAGGTGTGTTTGTTGATCGTCTAAAATAGAATAAATATATATCATTCTAATCTTTTTTCCTGTTTCTGTTTTATTTACATTTGATTTATATGTATTGGTTGATCAACTGTTTGATTAATAAGAAAATGCATCATATCCATATCAATTGAATCAGAATATAAATCAACAGAAGGTAAATTATTATTTATACCATTTGAATTATTCATAATTTGATTATTATTTGTAAATAATGGATATTTTTCACGAAAATATTCACTAATTGTTGAACAATCACTAAAACGACATTTTTTTGTACATAATAAATCATCATGATACTGATCTTTGAATTTTTTAGTTAATTGAATATGTATAAGAATAAGTCGAGCACAATCACATTCGGTTAAATTTTCTATTCGAGGAAAAACTATATTTAATTGATGTTGATAATTATGATGAATAAAATGAATTAAATAACAACGAGAATCTGATGTCATTTCAGATAGATTAACATCAGATAAATCGAAATGTTTTAAATGAGTTTGTAATGAATAAAATACTTGAGGATTTATTTGACGAAGACTAGAAGTTAATTTTAAATTATTAACCTGTTGAGCAGCGAAAAGTGTTCGTTCACTTAAATATTCAATATCTAATGTTAAAGAATCTAATGTTGGAATAGATCTATCAATTAATACTTCAAAATGTGGTTTTATTAATTCTAATCCACGTAAATTAGTATATAATGGGATAAATGAACCAAGATCCATTGAATGAGCTTCAATTGCATGAATAGTATAAGAATGAACGGGAAAATAGTATGGAAATGTATTTGAATCAATGGTATCAACATGACGATAAAGTGTTAATGATCTAACAAGACCTTTAAATGTTCGTTTTAGAGAATATGGGCCAGGAGGAATAATTGATCCATGAAAATGAAGTTCACCAATATTTGTATTATTGAATACATGTTCAAATGGAAATGATGATGAGAGATGATCTCTTTTCATATAACTATATATATTTAAATGAGAAACATTTAAGCCAGAAAAACAATTTTCCGAAAATTTAAATTGATCATCGATACCAGCAGAGTTCTTTTCACCGGGTTCCATCTAAATATAATTATTTATAAAAAAATAAATAAATCTGAACAAAAGATAATTTACTTGAATATAATTAGGCGTTATTGGAATAAAATGTAACCGTAAATTTTTTCTATAATGTTTTTGGTGAAAGGTTTTTGAAGTTAAGGAATATTTGTTAAATGTAATATGAGTAAAACCATTAAATCGAATAGATAATTCAATTTCTGCATCATTATCTGTTTGAGAAAATAATGTTGATAAAGAATCAAATTGATTTGAATGAATTTCTACTTTATTTTTAAGAAAAAATTCTAATGAAATTGTACGAAAACGATTTTGATAGTAATAATGATATCCAAATGGTGATTGAAATGTATTTTTATTTAAAGAATATCCTTGACAATATAAATGTGAATATATTGTCGTAGGTAATGATAAATTTAAATCAATATTCGATTGAAAACAAGAACAATTTAATGATAAAAAAACTGAGCAAGATGTTGTACTATTTACTAATGGATAAATTATTTTTAATATAATTAAATTTAATATAATCGAATTAAATAGATTGATGTTCATTCTAAATTATAAGATAAAATCTAAATTACCATAAAACGGTATTCAATAATTTAGTAAAGAAATATTTTACACAAACTAAGCATATATTTGTTTTCAAGAATAGAATACTATTTCAAAATGTAATTAACACAATCCCTGCAGAATTAAAATGAAAAATGCGATGCACCTGTGACATATGTTTTGGTTTCCGATTTCCAACGTAGTGGTATGTCTGTGATGAAAGATGTCATTGATAATATGTTACAGCTAGTTTAGAAAGGGAAGCAAAGACAGATATCTTCGATGCAATCGTCTTTCATAATAATCTCACAGCATGCTTTAATTCTTTTATTAATTCTATTACAGATTGTAATGGAGAAGGACCTTGTTAAGGTGTCTACCATGATCTGTGAAGGGCGTCGGTGGCCCAAATTTTTTCTCCTATACTTCAATACTTATTTCAGATTGTGATTCAAAAAAAAAATTCTCTCATAAGGATTTACATCAATGATATTTTCAAACTTATAGAAGTGCGTCTGAGTATTTTTACAGTTGAAATGATAATTAATAATCTATGTGCCTGTCAAATTTGAAACAATACTTTTTAAGTGTGTCTCTATGAAATCTGCCTTTTCATTTATCTTTAGACATATAATAAAAAAAACTATTCTCTACACTATTTCGCAGCTGTCGAAAATGATTAGGAATCGTTTTCTATATAATTTATGAATAAAATTATCATTTCTATTGTATAATATCAAATAACATATATATATAAAAATGACATTCACAAGGTTAACAAAATTGTTTTCTGATAAATATTCTTTGAAATATTTATTCTCTAAACAAGACAAGGCCTATCTCTATCAACATAATCGAAGACAAGTATAAGAAAGGTTATGTTGACATTTCTTTTGCTATATTTCTCCTATATTTCTTGAATTCTCTCTGCATATCGACATCAATAAATATAGATAGATTATCTAATAAAATGCTCAAATCTATATTACGAGTATTCTTATCATGCTCTTTAAAGTAACACATAAAATATAGATTTATTCGATTGAATTTACTAAAGTGTCTCATCGACAACAAGACATGGGATTTTTGTTATTTATAAAATGTCCTTTCTTTTGACACATAAAAGAGCATATTAATCAAAATTTGGTATAGCATTTTTCATTTTCATTTCCTATGTGTATCCGACAAATAAATCATAATGGCCTATCATTATAAAAAAACAGATCGATTCTTACTTTATTTATAAAATCATCTGACGATTATAATGCGTATATATGTTCTATAAATCTATAAAATTTATTCAAATAAAGCTGCAATACATTTACATCCTCGTTAATAGATCATAAAATACATCTATAGATAATTCGATTGTTCTATAATAACAAAAATAATAAGTATAGAAATAAAATCATCGTTGTGCATTCGATCGTACGACATCATCGTACATTCATTTATGAAACGTTTGCATAAATACATTTATGCAAACACAAGAAGGTCGCTTCTCAATATTCGTCTCATTCGTCACTCCCAACACAATGTTGATCATCATCATCACCACTATGTGAGGAAAGAAAAAAAAACCCAGGATTGATGATTTATCAAATACAGAAGAAAGAAACATTTATACCTATGTATACTGAATAATACAATACAAATTGTAGAAGATTATTTTAAAGTTAAATATTTTTCTATCAATATGTATGTATTCAAACAAATTAATATAAATAAATATTATTTTTCTTTCTCTTTTTATTGTGAGTTAACTATAAGAAATATCATTGCAGAAAAAAACTAATTTTCTAGTTCGCTCCATATGTACACATTATATATACAATTCAAAAAAATTTTTTCGGTACTCAATCATTAAAAAAGCATTGAATGAATCAAGGACAATACTCACACGTTTTTTTATATTCTTACTGTAAATTTTAAAAGGCACGTGCGTTCTGTCGACCTGGAAAGATAAAACTACTGGAAGAAAAAAAAAAAAGAAAAACGACTGAATTGCTGCTAGCGCATATATCTACTTTGTGCGTGCATTAAACAACCTTGTAAACACCACATAGTATTATTCTTTAACGAAAAAAACAAAACAAAAAATTCTTAGAGCTATATTATCAGATAGTTCTTTTCTGTTCTTTTACTCGTTCTTTTGGAAGAAAAAAAAAAAAAAAGAAAAAAAATCCAATATGAAAGTAAACGAAGAGAAACGATAAATGAATCTCGACTATGTGACAAATATTTCTCTTCGGCAAACTATGAATATATATATAAACGATTACTGTCAACAAATATTTAACAAAGACTAAAAAGTTCACACAGCTGTAAATTATTCAACACAAAAGAAAAAAAAAAAAAGTTGAATTCTAAATGTATTGCATCGGAATAAGTGACAATGCTAAAATTTTTCTCAGAGACAAATTTATACTCATTAATTAAAAGAATCAATCAATGAACAATATTTAATTGCTAATGAATAGAAAATCTCTCAACAGCATGTTGTCCTTGTCATTCATATTCTTAAATGAATGATGAAAAATAATTTGTTATTTCTTTGACGTTCATCACATATCGATGTTAAATGATGAAATAATCAATACTATCAAAGACATCATTATATAATAACCTTCTATAAAAGATATGAACATAATCATTTCATGTTAGAATAGAAAAAAAGAAAAACGATGCAACCAGCAGATTATCGTCTTGTACGTTCTCATATAGAAGCTGGAATAATGATGGCAATTAAACGACATGTATTTCCAAAAACACTTGATGATTATTTTTCTTATTGGCTATATGGTCAAAGGAAATCAACTGAACAAATTCCTGTTAATTTATCTCGATCTATTCCTTGTCTTGTATGTTCAAACAATAATGCTAATTGTGAAGATTTTTCATTACTTACCGTCGATATGAATTCGTTTTTACAATGTTTACCTTTATTAAATACTGAAGAATTATCAATACTCTATTCATTACTTGATGATGATCAAAAAGTGTATCAACATGCTATCCGACAACAATATCAAGATTATAAACAACAATTAATTGAAATTTTAAAAAGAAAACGTAATGAACGATATTATCTTGTTTAATAAATGTATCGAAATAAATTCATAATAATTGAAATGTGTAAGAAAATTTTTTTAAATTAATTAAGAGAACAATCAATGGTTCTATAGTCTAGTGGTTAGGACATTGGATTCTGACTCCAGTAACCCCTGTTCAAATCAGGGTAGAACCTTCTTCTTTTCTGTCATGTTTTTTCTTGAAAAATTTTCTTAATTGTATTCTATTGAAATTGAAAGCTGCTATTTGTTATTATATAACGACACAAACATATAAAGGTGAGAACGTGTGAAGTTAAATATTTCTGTTAACTTAAGAAAAAGTGTCAAATGTTCTTATTTTCATCGAAAAATCAATTTTCATATTAGTGGTTACTGAAAAGAAACACAATGTTCATTCAGTAAAGAAATTGAATTGATGGAATTTTTTAGAGTTGAAAAATAACGCTTATTTTTTTAGATTCATTTTGAAAGTCAAAAAACAAACTAGAAGAACAGTACCCGAGTTTTCGCAGTATAAACATGCATATATGTGACTTAATTGAATAATTAACGCATGAGTGACGTTAAATAAAACTATCCGGAAGGCAAAATCAAGACGGAAGTTTGTTTTTGAGTTATACTTGAGGATTTATTAGGGTACGTTAATATCTTCAATTTTGTGCTGGGAAAGGTTCACAAATCTTATAAAAGTACAGTCATATGTTTTTTGTTTTTGATGTCGGATGAAACTGTTTTTTTTTTGAAAAAATTGATAAGCTGAGAATGTTTCCAATTGTGAGGTGAATGTTTAATAAATCGAAAAATTTGATTTTTAATATCTAGTCCGACTAAGATATGTAGATTGATGAAGAATAATACAATCCATGAGTTTCTAGTTTTCTGCAGAGAAATTAATGGTAACTTGATTTATATTTTCGTTAGTAAAGCCAAGAAATATTTATTTATTAGATAACAAAAGAAAATCATCTTAAAACAAATGAAGTGAGAATAAATAATCATATTTAAAAAAGAAATACACAAGTCATGAAGTGCTATAAAAACAAATCATGAGTTTTTTTTTTGCAACGGAAAACATTTCATCTGTATAACTTTTTTACGAACAAAAAATCATCTATGGAAAATCTTTTAAATTTCATATTTATGTTCACCAGATAGATTTCTTATCATTTGATTTCTTCTTTTCATTTGTATTACACGAGGTCTTTCAACAAGTAAAATATAAGTAGACAAAATGATAAGCATTATTAAACCAATCATGATTAAAACAATACCAATAATAATTATTGAAGTTTGAGACTTTGAATACATATAGTCCAATTGAACTGATTTTAAATTAATTATTCGATCATAATAACATGTATATTTATATCCAACCTTAAAAAAAAAATTTTGATTAAAAATAAATTAATTTATTTTTATTATTATACTAACTTGAATATGATGTTTGGTTGGATTATCTTTGATCATAATAGTACTTTGAATTTCTGTTCCATTAAATATAGAATAACTAACTTCAATTTTTTCATCATAACAAATTGATTTATTACAATTTGAACTAGCACAAGAATAACATGGATGCGAATTATATGAATATTGAAATACAAAGCATGTTGCTTCCCAAGGATTATTTAAATATTCGTTAGATTGATTTTGCATTTGTTTTATTAAACCAATGGAACTCAATAGAATACCTATAATACTAATAATACAGGCAAATATTCCAAAACCTATTATTGAGATAATACGATACAAATTTCTAATAATAAAATTAAAAAAAATAAATTTCTAAATAATTGTTTGTTTAAGTAAAAACAAAAACATGCCGATGATATTTTTTAATTTGTCTTGCATTTTCTTCGTTTGCAGTTGAACTATGCATTTGTGCTTATACCTCTTATTACCGGTGTACAGTTTAGATAATGTTTGTTATAGACTCATAAATATTAATGACATCATCGTCGTCATATCGGAAAGAAACAAATGAGTCAATTGAATACTAATGTCTAAAGGAGTGATTGCACAATAAAACTGATCACGACATAGCATCTACAATAAAACCCATTACTCACGAGAGAAATTCCCCAAGTGATCAATTGCTTTTTTCCCAGAACCATAGGTGAGTGTATGCAACTCCCTGCACTGAGTCCGAATATCAGGGTCTTAGTGACCTTTAGGCGTTTCTAAATTCTGTATCATTATTTTAATCAGTCTATTATGCACCGTTAGACAAAATATCCACGAGAATATTTTTTTTTATAGATACTTCAACCTTAAGTTTCACATACTAAGATATGAAGCAGGGAAGTAATTCGTATATTGACTACCGTTTCTTTTCGTTTCATTGTCATGTATTTACAAATTAGTCATAACTCGACTATATTTAGTAAAATATATATCAATGGGAGAAATAGAAAACATGTATGGTAATTTCTCAAAACATAAAACATTGGCACTATGAAGACATGTTTCTAAAACAAGCGGTAAATTGAGCGACATTATGTAATGCAATACATAAGATAAAATTATTGTTTTTATTCTTTCATTATGTAAAAAAATATTGACTCGAAAAGGGGACTTTTGGATATTTAGGCTTTTTGTATCTTACGGTCCATCTTAGCATTTTAAACTTAAAGTTTGAAGTATCTAAAAAAAAGTATTTCTGTGCATATTTTGTCTAGTGGTACATGGTAGACTGATTAAAAGATTGAGTTTGATGAGAAATACTCCAATCAGTAGAAGACGATTCAGAGTAATAACACAAAATCTAGAAAGGTCTCCGGATTACTAAAACTCTGATATTAGGAATCAGCGTAGTGAACTGCATAGAGCCGTGTATATTTATACGAAAAAGCGATCGATCACTTGTGGAACTTTCCTCATCAGATCAATTAAATATGGCTTTAAAAATTGTCCTATACAAATATGACACAATAATCAAATTATTTAATAAATAAAAAATCTTTTAATCAACATTCATGAACAATATTGAAATAAAATATACATAATATATGCCGCAGTAAATGTTTGAACATATTAAGATGAGAATTTTCTGACATAGAACTCATATTTATATCAGATAAGAAAGTAAATAAGCCTTTTAAAACTAATAATGTATT